CCTACTATCGGTGTCAGACTAAGAAATAAATAAGAAAGAAAGCTTGAGCGAATATTAAAAATAATTTTTATACCTTTGTGTTTGCCATGATTTGAAAGATAAAAATAAGTTTTTAACTGAAGAAAAAGAGCTACAAATTTTTGCAACTATCCCGCTTGTCCTTTTGATAAATCGCCCGAGAAGTTTTATTAGTGGTATAATAAGTTTTTTGCGAATATCGAAGGGCTTTTGACATAGATTCATTTTTTGCTATAGCGATCTATTCGGAATCATTTTCTGAATCGATTAAAACTTATCTGTCCGTCTATGCCTTTTCTGTTCTCATGTTCAATTAACAGAAATTAGGCTTTCATTCCATATAAGGTCTTGCTTTTCATAATAAGCCCTATATTTGTTGGGGTATAAAAAATAAACCCATGTAGTCGTAAGTGCCTACCGTTAATTTTTTTTCCTAAATTTCTACTATGGACTGATTTTCATCATAAAATATTAAAAGTTAAATCTTTTTCAGAAGAACTGAATGCCTGTAGGGCTACTGGAGTAAGGTCTAAGAACAATACCCACGGGGTTCAAATTTGGTTCATCTAACTTTTATGCCAAATTATTACCATGAACAAGTTTTCATCACAAAACGTTAACAATTAGGCTCTTTTTGTATAGAAAAGTTTAACCTGCGTGAGGACTCTGATGTAGGGTGGTATTCAACAAATATACGTACGTTGTTCAAATTCGGCAAGATTAATTTTATTGTCAATTTACTACTATGAACTAATTTTCACCATGAGAGGAGATTCAAAAATTTGTCACAACCGAATCAAATTTTTCAATACCAATTTAAAATGTCGTGCATTACTTAGCCGGAGTTTATCGAAAAATTTTGAAAAAATGGAACTATTTTCAATAGTGTTCGCTTTTGGGTTAAAGCACTTCATTTCGACAAAATATCTCAAAACTTTTCGATTATTACGCTGGGCACAAAAAATGCATGAGCAGACGTCACACAGACAGACATGTTTACTGGACTCTTGTAAATTTTATGTGGTGTAGGGTGTAATAAGACATATGTTAATTATTGTACATAGTCTATTCTTTGAAATGTTACTAACTCCTTTTAACATCCGTTTGCTCTCGTTTCACAAAACAAAGATATCTGTCAGATATTCAACGTTCATCTTAACCTAAATTTAATGCCTTCTAGAAGTGCATTTTCATTTAAATAATTATCTAACTTTTGTAAATTAATTAAGTATAGAAAACCACTCGTTTACTTCAGGTCCAGTTTTATAAATGGAAACAAAAAAAAAAAAATCTCTTGCAGCTGTTGCACATTTTCAACATTGATCAAGATGGACAAGCTGGAAAAAGAAAAACAAACAACATTCATGTGTTTATTTCTTTATTTTTATTTTTATTTTTATTTATTTTTTTTTATTATAACTTGACAAACTAAATAAACGAATAAACAGATTGAAAAGATATTTGCTCCCGCACTTAACGTGAACAACATACATACGACAACATGTTGTTGTCTTGCTGTTGCTGTGTTTTTGTCATTGTTAAGATGCAACATAAATGATTTCCATATGTGTGGTGTTTCGTTTTTCCTTTTTTCCTCATTTTTACTGATATAAGAGCATACATATATACATATATATAATGCCTAACTAGTGCTCATATATACATATATATATATATAATATATGTGTATATGCTAGAGTACTCTTCTGCATGTTTTCTTTCATACTTTTTTGTAACATGCTTAGTTTGCAATGTCATTAAGCATAAAGTTAAAGCCTCTTATGTGCTTTTTATTTTCCAAAGCTACACCACTTAACGGAAATGCGTTGCATTTATTTGTGTAAAAAGTCTAATTCACGATTGCTTTACCTAAGTTTACATATATATATATATATATATATATATATATGCATGGACACTATACTATATGTATATATTCAAATATATATATATTTATGCATTTTACACGTATGTATGCGTGGTGGCAACTTTAGCTTTTAATCGTATATTTTTCTTCTTTTTTTCTCTTTCATATAGAGAGATTTCTTGATTTTGTTTTTTTTTTTTTCTTTTCTTTTTGCATTTTCCCTCGAAAATTAAACGAAAATGTTTTCCATTCCTATCAGCGCTTAGTTATCTATTGTGTCAAATGACAAAACAACAACATTTCTGCTAACAGGTGGAATTTTTTTCCTATTCTTCTTCTTATACTTGTGAGGTTATAAGCGCGCTTATAAACTATTATGGGAAGAATTGTTGCATTGCGTAGAATTACGCCAATAAGAGATACTAAGAAGCATAAATCGTTTACATACTTCCAGTCAATGACAATTTTATATATAAAAATGTATTTTAGTTATTGCCTGTATTTCCCGAATATATATATATCTTCATTAAAAATTTCTGTTATGGAAATTTATTTCGAAAAGATAAACAATGTTATTCACACCTCAATCAGTTAATAAACTTGAAGTTGTGCTAATTGGGAACATGGTCAGAGAATTAGATTTGTTCTATCAAATGGAATCTTCTTCTCAATTCGAATAAGTGTCATTTGAAATGCATGTGCGTATAAAGGATTATCACGTTTTTAAAAACTTGTCAGAAATTAAGAAATCTTGACAGCAATAGATATATCCGTTGTATATATCTCTAACCCGGCATCATCTTACTCTTTTCTGACTTATTCTTTACATAAATCTTCCAATCATATTAATTTAATTTAAATTTTTTTCTCCAATAATAATACATAAAAAATCCAATTTTTTACATCCAAACATTATACTCTCTCCAGAACTTAGTTGTCATGTCTGTTCACCGCAGACCTTTATTCATTACATGCTTGATCTTGATTATTACGGTACACAAAACAGATTGCGAATTTCTTTTGTCCAATGGATCCTGTTAGTCGTAACTATTAGTTGCGTTAAAGTTAGCCAAGACCGATCATTAAGAACCCTGTAGTACTTCACCTAACAATATAAATTATTTTGTTGATAAAATACGAAAACTTATATTAGTTCCTATGTAAAAAAAGCGTACTTTTTATCGAATCCATTATATAGACAAGTCGCCAAAAAGTAGACTGACGTGGTCCAAATATAACGTTTTGTTCAACGATTTCCTCATTCTTCATTAAATTTTATAATAAATTATTGGTAATTGAACTTTGTTCCCATGTAAAGGATTACTTTTTCTGAGAACTCTTATAAAGGGCGAGAACTAAAAAAAATTTTTCGCATCAATTTCGCATCCCAATGCTTATGAAACTCGTCCAAGTATAAAATAAACTACAAATAATATTTGAGCCGAGTGTCTTTTCGTATCTCATTTAAACTTAATAATGCCAAGCATTTTTAAAACGAATCATATCACGATGTGATTCTGTGAGTCACTTATGACAACCATGGCGATAATTTAAATATTATTTTTCTTATAAATATAGTATAAATTTATTTATACATACAAACAAACTATATACAATCATAAAATCCTATACACAATGCAATTAAAAATATTCAATTTCAAACCTCATAGGACACACTATAATTTATAGACGATATATTTTTAAAATTTAAATTTCTTCATTTTTCTTGATCAACCTCTTGCGACAATATACACGGTAGCATTCACATCAACGAATATACTCGGCAAAAGTTGTAAACTGCAATTTTTCAAAGATATTTGTGTTTGAAACTAAGAATAAGAATCATCTGAAACAAACAATATCGCATATAATCCGCCTACAAATACAACCATAATAGACAGAAATCTGCAGCTTACAGGCTGCAAAACGTATTAAGCGAAGTAAGAAGGAATCGATAGAGTCAACTAAAATCCCAGTGTAAAAAGAGACATGATCGGTCAACTTACCTCACTCACATGTAACAAACTCCTATCTACAGTAGATAGGAAGAGACGTTCAAGGATTTAGAATGAACACGTTTTCGGTCACAAACTGTTAGGTTACGGTCGACAGTTATCTAAACATGTGGCCTCTCTTACCTTATAGCGGTCGGTAAGAGTCAATTAAATACTTTTCTTTATGTCATTTTAAACCAATCGGATAATTCCGAAAAATTACTCGACTTGGAATCATTTTCTTTACATAAAGCCATTTCTGTATCGAACCTTGTGTATTGATGTCATGCAATCAGTTAAAATCGATTAAATCAGATTGATTTGAAAAAAAAAAAAAAAAAATTTAAAAGAAAAACAAACCAATTTTTTGCTTTATTAAACTAACAATTTTGTTCAATTCATTATTTAATCGAATTCATATTTTAATCGAATAAGCAAACGATTATGCATATTTTTTGAGTGATACCAACGATAATGTTAAAAAGGAAAAAAAAAAAAAAAAAAAATAGAAATCATGCGAAAACTGATTTAAAATCGCATAAACATCACCTGCTCTATTCCGTGTCTAAACATTTCATTTGTAAAACGATTTGTATTTATGTTTGTTTGTGCGAATGCGCAACGAAAAATCTTGATCGTATGAAATAAATCATTAAAATTTTGTATTAACGAACCATACAATTGCATATGCACATATAAACAAACTAGTTTTCTACAATTGTAACCACAAAACAAAAACAAAAACAAAACAAAAACAAAAACAGCTGCTCTTTTCTTCTCCTACCATCATAAAATAGATTTCCGTTCATTTTTTTCCATCTTTCAAAATACCATTACCGTACAATTTTTCAATATTTTATGCTAAAATGATCATGAAAACCTATTTTTTATTCACTATATTATCCATTTCGTCCATTTGCAACCTGTTAATGTAGCCGACAACTACAACAATAACAATAATAATAATAACAACAACAATAAGAAAAACATCAACATTGCATAGCATATACATATGCGTACATATATATATACAAATAATAAATGTATCTATCTATCTATCTATATATATATATATATATATATAATATTTTATGTTATTGTTTTTCTTCCGCTCGTTACAGACTAAAAATGTTTTGACCAGAACACCTGCTCGCCACAATGATGCCCTCTTCAGTCCTGCCAGCTATTCACCGATGTAAGTATATATAACTTGGAACGCTTCAATAAATGAACATTTTTACACATTTACACAATCATACGCGCAGGAATATAAATAAAAATTCTATGATTTCCTTCTTTAAGTTTCTCTACACTAAACTCTATAACGTTTGTATTCTTTCTGCTTTTTTTTTTGTATCGACTTTTACATTACATTTATGCATCATCACCGTTCGTTTGTCTGTCAATAGCTTGGTTACGTTTAGCCAACACTTTGTTAGCAGTGGCTTAAATCATAAATATACAATTGGTCATAAATACTAACTGGATGTTAAAAAGATATCGTTTGGCAAATATATGCATGTATGTATGCGTTTCTATAGAGAACGAAAAAAAAAAAAAAAACAAAAAAACAAAACAAAACAAAACAAATACTAAAAAATGAAAATTACTAATATGGCAAAATAATTGCAACAAATTGTGAGAAAGAAATCTATTTATCCTCCTACATAAAAATCAATGCTTCTCTGACCATTGCAAGAATAATTCTACACGTATGTAGATGCATCTAATTAGCCATCTTTTAGCAATGCAGACCACATATCTTTAAATTGATAGAACATGTTAGGGCAACAAATGATTGTTAAAAGTGATTTCTTCGAGTTCTCTGCTAACTTACTACTACACTCATCTTAACCGATTTACTGCTGCAGTCTAAGAAAAATGAAATAAATCTCGTTTGAAGATGAAAAGCTGGAACTGTTTCTTCTTTTCTATGTACCTGGCAAGCGAAGGCAACCATTATCATCTCATCGTAGGTAATGGATATGTAAAAATTGTTTCATTTAAGTCCGGGCTTACTTTCCTTAATTTTAACTTTGCAGCAAGGAAAATTCTTTATTTCTTATTAAGCTTTTTCCAGTTTCCCATTGCTTGGGCTAATTATGCAAAGCAACTTTATAATCATTTCAAAAACAATTTCATATTTTCGCAATATTTTCTTTCTTCTTCTTTTTTCTTTTTGGAACATCTTACTTTTTACTAGCGGATAGCGGGGGCATATATTTGAGTAGAAGATCATCAATCGTTCTGCTAATGAAGGATTTTTTCTTTTTTGCTTTCTAATCATTTTCTCGATTACACTCGATTTTCGGCAAGAAAATCGAAAGCACTTACCCAGTAAGTGCACATCTTATTATTTCACTCTTCATAAAGTCCACCGTTGGGAAAAAATTGTTTAGCAAACATATTACCAGCAAATAAGCCGAGACCTTGCCTTTTTTTTTTGATATAGAAACTTTTAGTTGCTCTTTCATTCCTACGGTATATCATTATAATCACCTTTTGTCTGTTATAAGACATCAATGCAAAAAACGCAATATACTCTCACACATTTGTATGCGATTAACATTTGGAAATATTTACGCATTCATGTAAAATGTGACGCATATCTTTTCTTCAAATGCCTTTCATTAGCCCTCCAGGTTGAAGCTCTTTCATGCACCTTTAATTGTCATTAGTGCAACAGGATAGCGAATGTTGTTTTCGCGTCTCGTCATCGACATTGCAGCATCTCTAGAATGTAAAACGCAACAGTTTAAGGATTATCTTTAATAGAAATTTTCAATTCATTTCCAATGATAAGATAAACTTATGCTTATGCTTATGCACTTTATCTACTAATATTCGCATTGAATAAAATTTGAAAATTATAAATACAACGAACGGCAACAATTGGACACATGTTGTATATGTTGTTTATGTGTAAACATAAACTTCTTCTTGGCTTCCTCCTAAGCCAAATGATTGTTATATGAACACACATTAACCATTAGACAGTGAATGTTAGAGAGATTCTTTGAATCAATCATTAGAATGAATGCTAATAAAAATTGATTATTATAAGACACACATTACAACATTATGTACTTCCGCAGAAATACTAATAGAGTTTATTAGCAACACAGGCATGAATGTTGTATGTGAGGCCTGCGCAACGCCTGTAAAGATGTTTTTTTTTTTTAAGTGTTTAATAATTGCGAAATCTATAAAAATATTGTTGGATAATGATAATCACGACGAAAACTCATACAATGCCCTTAGGCGACAGCCAGTGTATCTTTATGAGTTGTAGTAAACAACAACATGATGCGCAGTATATATATAAAAATAGTTTTTTTTTTTTTTATTTTTTTTTTTTATTTTATCTTATTAGAGCGAAGACAGAGGAGGGCAGGACTTCTTGAAAAGATATTTGCTCTAATGGTACGAGGTCTTTTCTTCTTCTTCTTCTTCTTCTTCTTAATAACGTTTATTTACTTTTATGTGTATTATGATTGCCATGATGTTGGTAGTCGAACCGATAAACAAGCGGAGATGTTAACTTAACCAAAGCCTTTTTAGCAATTATAAAAAATTATTGAACAAACTTATATGGCTTTACAAGCGACATAAAATTTATTAGATATTTACTCATTTCGATTTACAAAACGTATCATGGGTATCATGTAATTATTTCGTATTTGCAACCGTCACTAGGTCAACTCTAGAGTTGAGAAAATAATTTTGAATTTAATTTAATTATTTAAGACCGAAAGTAGGTTGATTCATAATTGATTGACAGAGCATCACATCATAGAAGCGTTTATGTAATCTAATGCTTCTAAATGAACAAGGAGCTATCTGATTTAATATCTCGTGTAATATTTCGTAATTCACTTTTCAGACATTTCTCTCTGATAATTGAAAGACTTCTTTTTCAAGACTTCTTCTTGCTGTGTAACTGCATTCAAAATAAATTAAAACATTGCGAGGGGAAGGGGGCCACAATGAAATATGTTCAAGAGAACCTCTTGCATTAGAATACTTGAAGGATGCAGATACGAAAGGGACAGCAGGCTGCGCATGCATAGGATAACTTAGACAGAGCCAGCATTGAGTCCTAAGTGCTAATTACGTACCTTCCAGGTTCGTCGTAGTAACTATGGCTAGAAGCAGTGAGATGCCAGATATGCCTCGATTATTCCCCACAATAGACCGAATGGTTATAAACTTTAAATAAATCTCGTGGCTCAAGTGCAATAGGGCCCTTAATAAAGAGAAAGATTTGTCGTACACGTTTTGGAGAGCGCCAGTTCCAAATCTTTCTTAATAAATCCCAACAGATACAACGATAAAAGTTTTCACGGTTGGAGATCCTATAGAGGCTATTCAAAAGTAGAAGATAGCTGTTACACTCAGCCCGAAATTTCTGAAAATTCATATATTTTTTTGGTTTCATTTTTTCTTTTGTTTTTGTAAAATAAATGTAGCGCGGCGACTATAAAAGTTTTGGTCATAGGCGAATATAATTGTTTGCCTTATTCAAGTTGCATCACTGGAATTAAGTCCAAAATAGTCGCAATTCGTTTTATGACTTTTTTTAAAGCTTAAATCGCTCGGACGATCATCACTTACGGATTCTTAGCTTCAGCAAAATTTGTCTACTGCTTCGAGGAGCCTCTGATGCATATTTCGATGTATTAACAAAAGCAGTAACAAAAAAATAAACATATGTCAATTGTCTGCGATGTTAATGGAAACTTCTTCTTCAAAATCTTAGTAGAAAGTAACACAGTTTCAATTTAGGCCAAATGTTGCTTTTGTGCTGTTAGATAGTTTTTCTCTTATTCGTACATTAAGAAAAGCAATAATTTGATTAATGGAAATGTTTTTGTTTTGTAGCTTCGCATCTTACTCAGCACTTTTTCGGGCATCTTGAAAGATTTTCTATATACGCCATTATTAAGCAAAATAGAAATAAAAAAATTTTATTTTATTTACATTTTATTTTCGTAATTTTTTTTTTTTCTTTTTTTTGTATAATTTCTTTGTCTGTGTTGGCCAACATTCATGCCAAGGGAGGTTATGCTTTATTGTACCGCTATTTTCAATATATATATATGCATATGTTGTATTTTGGCCAAACACTCTGGGGGGTTTTGATCTTTATTTTCGTAACTCCAACACGGCAAACTCTACAACATTGTTGGTTACATTATGTATATGCAAGCATATGCACATTGTCGTACAAACATATAACAATCATTCCATGTACATTATTATAGAGACGCTGTCCTCTTATAAATGCAACCTAAGGTGAATTTAGATTTAGTTATGCACAATGTTTTTTAAAAGATTTTCCAAAAAAAAAAAAAAAAAAAAAATCAAGTAATGTTTATTTGTTGTAAATTCATGCCTTGTATATATGCTACGCTCTAAAGTGTTACAGGAACGTGTTCACAACTTGATCGCTATGCCACAAGCTGAGCTGAACTCCTTTTTTATATTGACTTTTAATACACCAAAGTTGGTAGAAACTTTGATTACCGTTAGTTATTCATTTACTTGTACGTTTTTAATTAGGAATCTATAAAAGGTTTTTTCGGAAAAGATTACATTTGTTGTATGTGTGCTTTTTTCTTTCTTTTTTTTTTTTTTTTTATTTTATACCTTATTTGATGACTGTCTACAGTGTACAGTGTACCAGCGTGCAGTCAATGTACATGAACATGAATTTTAGGTGATCTCTCTTAAATGTAATTGAAATAAATAAATTTTTCATTTTGTTGTTTGTTTGCTTGCTCTTTGCTTAGAAACCTTAGATTATAATCAAATTTATATAAAAAGCAATTAAGGTACGGTACACGTTCATTGTAATGCCAATAATATTAACGTTGATGGTGTCCATTTAATTTTTTTTTTTTTCTCTCTATATACCCTACATCACTTGTGATAGAAAGATACATTGAGTTTGTGCGGATGTATATATAATGTCTAGAAGGAATTAAGATAGATCCAGCTTTTATTATACACCGTCTGTCCGTCTTGTTTTCGTGTGTTCAACCTACATGTCGCAATCTTTAAGATATTCTTGGTGGTATTTGATAAAACGATGTGTTTTCGCGCAAGGACGATTGCTATTGAAAATGTTTCGGGTCGGATCACTTGTTCGACAACTTCGCATATGTCGTCTTCTTTTGAAAGGGCGTTACTTGTATGAATGTATTAAGCGAAAGCGACGTAGGTTAATCAATGATGGACTATAGGTGTTTGTACTTGATTTATATAAAATCAAATTTATTTTTGCCCATAAAGTAAAGTAAAGTGGTATAAAATTTTTGAATCATATTGAAAATGACTTTGAGATTTCATTATTCATAACCGTAAATAAAAAGTTAAAAATCGATTTGTAACAGATAATATGTTAATTGTATGTGTAGAGCGTAAATTTATTGCATATATATACAAATTTTTGTATACGCTTTACAAATAAAGTCAAAGAAACGTCTAACGATCCATAAAAAATTTAAAGTTTTACGTATTGACAGATATTGACTATGTGCTTTGCAATATGCCGCAGGAGTTGCATATTCGCATGCACGAAATCATAGTGTTGCGATGAAAAATATCCCCGCATATATTTAAGTTAAGATTACACGCTTGCCTTGCGTTTCATATATTATTATATGTTTTGCATTTCTCTCTGCTCGAATGACACTATCGTGTAAATAAGAGTCGACAGCGCGCTCATGTTAAAAGTCGATCGTCACTTGTATTAAAGGATTAACTACTGCTCAGATATGTTGTTGCTGTTGAATTACAAATTCAAGCTTGTGTTTTTTTTTTTTTTGTATCAGACCTTGCGTTCTTATTCTTATTAAGAATTACATAAAGTTGAGAAGAAAAGAAGAATGTACTGTGTGATTTGAGCAACCATGATAAATCAAATTGTCGTAATAAGTTTTCAATTTTTTTCGTTTCGCTTTATTACACTCTACAATGCTTGCGGTACAACGGTATATAAAGTTCAGCCGAATGTATGTAACACTCAGTAGGACTTGACATAGATCAATCTCTTATTATATCAATTGATTCAGAAACACTTTCCGAATCGATCTAAACTCGTCAGCCCCCTTGTCTATTATCGACTTTGTTTTCTTGTGTTCAAACTTTTATTAATTTTCTAAAATTTGATATGAAATTTGCTACACCGACATGTTTTGGGCCCAAAGACGAACACTATTGAAAACGACTCAGATCGGACCACTTTTCACCGCAATCGGGTGATGTTCCCCATCCAAGTTGATGATCACTTCCTGGGTTGCTTTTGCTACGTACCGAGGGACGTATCTCTTCTGCCCGTCCTCAAGACTAAATTTGTTGCGTGCTCTTCGCTTCATAGTTCATTGTTTTTCCACCCCAAACTAACTCAATCATATCATTAGACTGGAATGCCTTAAATGCTTGCTAATTGAGATCCATTCTTATATACTTTGATGTACGCTGAACGATAACTAATAAAGCACTGGAATCTACATAAGGCAGTAGGCAAATTTAGAGATGGATAAAGGCGTCGGATGCGTTTTAAACACCAACCAACTTATTAACGCAGCTAATATTATGTTAAGTGAACTTAGCTGATTCGATCTGACCTTTTGACTGAAGCTATTGAAATGCTGCCTTTCTTCGATAACTGTACCTGATTGAAGATTCACAGAATATTACGATAACGTGCTAAAGAAATTTATAATTGGTCTAAGAGAAACGCAGCAAAAATAGGGTTTGTTATACGACAAACTGTCTCATGTATTGGATAGACATACTTAGGAAAGACTCGAAAATGTATGCAACTCCGTTCATTCGTCCATTCATTCACATTTTACAACACCCACATATTTTCTAATATTATATTATGTTGTTGCTCTTAGGCATGCATACATACATACGCTTACATTTATTTATAGTTTATTTATCGCATTGAAAATGGATTTTTTTTTTTTTTTTTGTTTTTTTTTTTTTAAAGAGGAACGCCACGCACACGCAGAGTTACCGCAGGGTCTGGAAAAATCGTTTACACCCTTGGAAATCCAACGACAATTAACAATGCTCAATGGTCGCTTAGCAGTCAACCAAAGATAACTGTAAAGCAACTATTACAGCATAATGGCAAAACATTGGACATTAAAGCGAAATATATGTATGACAGGCTTTCCCAAAAAGCTGACATAGCAGCCGATCGTATATTCAATATAAGCAAAAGCTTGTGCATGAAAGTGTTTGGCAAAAAAAGTGAGGATTATATACTAAGCCACGTAGATGTGCACACACAGGTTAAATTGCGAAATGTCCCAATAGTTTACAATATTTACATACGTATATGAATGTTTCTTTCTTTTTTTTTTTTTTTTTTTTTTTTAATAAAAAGGAAACCGTGAAAGTTGTTGGTACAATATACAGTGATTATGATGGAGCTTTAGATTCTGCTTCTACATTGTTAGTCGGTTCGGATGTAATGATGTGTCGCACAGTAAGATTGAATTTTTCCAAAATGAAATCGGTAGCTGTTTTTCCCGGACAGGTTGTCTTAGCATCTGGTATAAATCCGCGAGGAGATGTTTTTATGGTAGAAGAGCTAATTACTGAACAAGATTTAATGATGCCAAGTCCACCGCGGTTAGCTGATCAGCTAAGTTTTGTTGTAGCAGCTGGACCGTTTACCAATGCCGATGACTTAGTTTACGATCCTTTGCAAGATCTTGTCACTTATTTGAAAGAGAATAAACCTAATGTGTTAATACTGACAGGACCGTTCGTGGATTCTAATCACAAGCTGATTAAAGAAAATGTTACCAGAACTGAAACCTTTGAAATGTTTTTCGAAAAAATAATGGACGGTATAATCGATACCGTAGGCACAGACACTACTATATTGGTAGTAGCGTCGTATCGCGATGCTCACGCAGATCCCGTTTACCCCACCATGCCTATGACGTTAAGTCGGACATATTCTAATGTTCATATGTTACCGGATCCATCGTTAGTTGATTTAAATGGGCTTACTATTGGCTTGACTTCAACGGACATACTGGACCATATTCTAACCCAAGAACTTGCTGTGTAAGTACTTTAAACATATTATAAAGGTGTTGGCCGACTAAACGTTGCCTTGAAAATTGTTCTCTTTCAGTAACGCTGGCGATAAAGTGAAGCGTGCCGTTAATTATCTATTTCACCAAAAATCCTTTTATCCCTTAAACCCTCCGATAGAGGATACAATAAATTTCGATAGTGACTTGGCTAGTAAATTCGCCAATATCGACCAGATACCAAATATCATCATTTTACCAAGCGATCAGAAATGCTTCTTAAGGGTAATGTCAATATTGTCTTTTAACTAAAACAAAACAGTTTTAAAGAAATTCTTTTGAACAGCTTGTCAATGGATGTTTAGCCATTAATCCTGGTCGTTTGGCCGATATCAATGGTGGTACTTTTGCTCGTTTCATTATTACACCTACTGATCCCAAAGAAGAGAATAATCCTTTCAGTTATATCGGATGTCAAGTGCGTAAAGTTTGATCAAAAAAATTTAATAAAAGCTTAAGATTTAAGAAAATTTATATTTTTTGCTTGTTCACTTTTAATCGATACATTAAAACAAACATATAAGTAAGTCTTAAAGTTAAAATTTTAAAATGCTTTAAATGTTATTTTTAGTTACCAAAGGCACTCGGAAAATACTTTTTATCGTGGTCAACAATTTCCTCTATGATATCGTCAATATCGGTAGTTGGATAACGTTCTGTCCATGATTTAATAAAACCCTCATGAGTTGCTTCGTAGGTAAGCAAATTAACCTTATTATCTTTTATGCCTGTATTCGCTTGGACCAAAATCACACGTGGCTTTTTATGAATCAGGCATATGTCGCGCCATTTAGCCCAAGGGTGTGATCCGGTTTCATTGACTTCTGAATAATGTTCATACATTTTAGAGGCACTGTCTATATCGGCTGTTGACTTGTAAACTTGCAATTTTCTGAGAAACACTTCAATCGCTTTTTTACCTATCGTTTCGATTTTAGTGCGATCTACGGTAAGATGTAGATTCTTTCCTTTTTCGATTTCTTGGACATTGACAAAACCTTCACCAGCCTCAAGTAGAACTTTCATAATAACAAACCGTGCTCTTGAATGCGCTTGCATCCATTGTTTCGATTGAGGATTATACATCTCCAAAGCCACACCAACACCATTCCATATCAAAGATAACCAATTGATGTAAATGATTTTCTCTTGTTCAATAGGATCTTTGAAACCAAAGATTTCTAGAATATCACGTTGCAATGATAAGTAAAGTCCCACGGCTTCAGCTCGACATTCTTCATAGGATGAACCAATAGCTCCGAATTTAGTATCATAAGTTTCTCCAGGCAAATACCACGTGTTAATAGGTTCTCCGGTAATAAGATTTTTTGTATTTTCCTTATCAAAGTTAAATTTTCCGTTTTCATTAATTCGGAATAGTTTGCCACTGCCATGCCCTAAAAGCTCATGAAGACCAACTTGAACTTCAAACGCTTTAACTTTATATTCTTTCATTAATGCCTGATCTTCTTCCGACAAAAATGCTATGGGGTCTTTGCGATTAATATTGGCCAAGACATTGCCCAACGAAACATTTTTGAAGCCTTCATCTTGGCGAATTTCATCATCTACGAAATTAAACATTATTAAATGAAATATTACACGTTAGAAAATACGTACAGTTTGGAATGTTTATACCAGCTGGCACCCCGCTACCTGCAAATGTTAAAACATCCAGTGAAGTGAAGTCAGGTTTTAGGTAGGAATCCTTTTCATATTCCTTTGTCCATGGTAAGTATTCTAAAAGCTTTTCAGCGCGTGCCACCAATTCACCAAATTTCGCTGAACTTTCCTTATTAACCATAGCCACAAAGCCTTCAAATTCTGCTCGACCTCCAGCGGGATCGCGATACGTTTCAATAAAACCAATATAAGTTTCTACGACAGGTCCTTTGTCCTTAATCCAATATCTGGATCCGTCCTTGTGATCAACTAGGGAACCTTCTTGAAATGCTTTTACGTAATGTTCAATCATTTTAACTTCATTTTCATTAGCAGCATATTTCAACGCCTGTTGCAAATTATTATTAACTCTCTGCAATAATTTACTGTAATCGCCGCGAGTAACGCGAAAATTATTATCCTTGTATGATTGTAAGGGCAAAGTAATTCCATCTTTATCATCCACAGCTACCGAGCCCAGCTTGATATCGTATATCGTTTTACCATCTTCTTCTACTTTGAAGGTCCGACACATGTAGGGTTCAATACGTTTTGAAGTAAGCCAGTCGTTAACCGTATTGCTATCTTCTTTTGTGCAATTATCAGACCAATATGTGGTAATGCCATTAGGAGCAAAACCCAAAATTTCGTTTCGAGGTTTTAAATCATAAATCAAAGAATTAATTTTGTCAAAAATCAGAGGCACATTCTTATCGTTAGCATAAGCAGCCGATACGTGCACTATTTTCCTGAATGTACTCTCACTCAGATTAGGTATGATTTTACTGTCACCCATACCTTTATAATTGCCCGTATTCGCAAATACACCGCAGGCATAAACTAAAAAGGCCTATAAGAAAAAAGGCTATTCAATTTTACCAAACGCATGACATATTAACATCATCACCGTAAAATCCTCTTCAGTTATGCTATTGGCTATGGCTTTGCTTTTCAACTCTTCTAAAGGTTCAGCCACAAATATACGATGTAGTAAAGAAAAAATCAAAGGCCCTTCGGGACTGGATTGAATCAAAGCTATCAGTCCGCCATCCCACGAAGCTTTACTAAAATAATGAGCGTAGAGTTTCTCTTTCTCTGTCAGATTTTCAAACGCAGTTTTACATTCCAAATCGGCAATTGGTTGAGTATTTGGTAATACAAAATGTGATGCATGATTGGAAGACATACTGAAAGTAAATAAGACAAGAACTAAGTTAGTGCTTTTAATACTTGAAAAAATTGTTCAAATACCTTAATTTGGAATAATGTCTAGAAAAACTATCGGTTGTGTTCAAACACAAAGTATAAGTTTTATCCTCAATAATGCTACTAACATGATGACGAAAACTTCTTCCTAACAATTTATGATAAATGCTTCTACATAATGTTAACATTTTTTTTTTCTTTCTTTTCTTTTTTACACTTGACTCTGGAAGAAAATGTATTTTAATTTGTTCTTTAGAAGGTGAATTTAAATTTACTTACAATCACACTAAAAGAACTTTTACCCTAGAATGTATAAGATTTTTATATTTATTGGCTGAAATATGCAAAAAAAAAAAAAAAAAAAAGGAAAATTAAATTCAAAAAAGCCAGTCGGGAGCATATTTTTATAAAAGAAAAACTGCCAGCATGTCCAAGCAATCCAAGATGACTGTGCAAGTCTATTAGCACAAAAAGATAACATATAATTTAAAACGACATGCAACAATAACTCAAAAAATATGCATATCTACACAAACATGTACGGACGCCTACACAGTAAAAAGAAAAATGGTTTGCATATTATCTATATAGGTTATGTTAACAGGGAGCTGTTTACTTTACCACAAATATAAGAAAATCAAAGTTACGAAGGGATGGCACACCGTTAATCTTGTTCTTGCACTTACTTTTTTGCCTGGATTTCGATTATGATTAATTGGTTTAATAAACAATTTTTAACCAATGCTTTTTGCCGAAATTGCTAACACTAAAATTACCGGTTCATAGATCGTGACTTACGATTTTTCAAACAGATGATTCGCACCATTCATGTTCTAAAAACAGTGTTGATAAGTTTTTCTTATAATGGAAAGCGAGAGAGCATAATTATATTTATTTCCTGCGATAGGAAGTGGCCTGGAACTGTAGAGATTGTGGCATGTATTGACAAAGATGTACTTAATTTGAATTATTATATACACAATATGTCCTAGTTAAGAGTACAAGAAAATTTTTTATTAAAATATGTATAATTTACTATGAACTATTAGAGATTTGCAAATTTCTCAAACTCTCCAAAAACCACTTTAGCGAAACTGTTTCGAAAATTTGGCAATACTGGAGAAGCGTTTGGAAGAAATTTAAAAAATTAGCTTGGTGGCGAAAAAAACTGAATACCTAGTGAATTGTGTCAAAAAAAATACTTGCATTTTTTAAAGCTATTAAGCACTTGTGTTCATAAAGGAAAAAATTTGATCAAAGTATCGTAGAATTTTTGTCAAATATTCATAATTTTCTGTAGAAAATTTAATTAAACTTAACAAAAGAGAAATGGATTCTTCGCCACAAATGAAAAGTGAGGACGCCGAGGACTGTACAAGTACTTCAATGTATTTATCTTGCAATGAAGAAAGCACCATGTCGTCGGTCGCTTTCCAAACGTTAGAAGCAACGCTAGAGGACGAATCGATGGGATCTGACTTAAATAAAACGTTAGAACCTGTGAATCAGCCTCCATTCTTCCCATTAAAAACTGTCAAGGATGTCAACATTGCGCCAATAACGCCTTTAAGACCGTTAATGGAAAATTTACGATCGAAAAATTCTTGGCTCGCATTATCTTCTACACCATCCAAAGAGCAATTGTTGAAAACAGTTGACGTGACGCGTGGCTCGGATGCTAATCGATGTATGGATTTGGGTTTTGCTTTTCAAGAAATAGACAAAGAAAATTTTTCTAATCGGGCACTGAGCTCACTTAACACGGAGGACAAAGAAAATGTTTTTCCTGAGATAGGCGATGGCTCGTCGGCATCATCCTCAGCAGCTACCACAATCCTAGAACAAGACCCTCTTCAAATTTCAGCGGCTGAAGTAAAGTCTATGCCGGATAATAAAGAAGAAATACAAGTCGCCAAAGATACAGATGCAGGAGGATATGAAAGCTTGGGAGGTATGAACGATGAAGGGAAAAGGCTTGAAGTCAATGCATCTCCACTGGATGCAATAAATGCAACGGACGGTGCTTCATTAGGTAAACACAAAAATGATATAGCAATTTTTTTTTTATCTGATCCAAATTTGAAAAATTTTAGTTAAAAACGTTGACACAAAAGTGAGTGAGTCTGACAAAATGAAACCAACCGTAGCCATGCATAATACAAATTTGCCATCAAAGAAAGCTTCTAAGATATTGCCTCCTGGGCAAATATATCAAAACAAATTGAAAATTCCTGATAAGAAAGATGTAACCTTAGATCCGGAAGTCGACGTCTGTCATCTGATTAACAAAATGTTACGATTGTCTGACAGACAGCAGAAAAAGACTGCTGCAACTGGAGCATTTAAGAAAATAAATGAAAAATCACCGATGCCATCGATAGCAGGGGAGAAGAGACGCGTCAGTTTTTCTCAGCATATGTCGATAGTGGTGAAAACGACATTAAACAGTCCCGCAAGAAAATTAGCTCGCAAAAGCATTGTGGGTGCAGCAACACAACAACCGCGACGCAGTGTTATGCCCATAAAAAGCGGTGAAATCAACCAGTTTGTAAAAAGCGTAGGCACAACTCGCAAAAGTATGTTACCAAGGGCTGCGAACGCAATTGACAAAGTAACGGCTGCTCAAATAGTTCCCCCTAAAAAAGACAAATTGAATAAATTGGAATCGTTAAAGCATTCCAAGGTTGGAGTCATGAGTGATTCTAAAAGTAAGGCATTACCGGCACCAGCAAATGCGAAACCTGAAGCAATATTTGCTTGTAAAATTTGTAAGGAGAAATTTCTTATAAAATCTCTTCTGGACGCACATAAACGTTCACATGAACTCGACATTAATCCATCTAAATGCCTTAAGCGTCCCTCTATGGTACCAATAAAAACTGATGGGTCAATTTTTGGTTCCGAAAATAAATGTAAATATTGCGACAAGAAATTCGCTCTATTACGAGCCTTACATATACATCTCTTGCAAAATTGCCCAAAGATTCCTCCAGCTGACAAGCGTAAGTTGCAATTAACTGAGATGGATCACGTCGAAAAGGCACAATTGCCAAACGTTTTCCTTAATAAGCAACATAGCGATGCGTCGTCCAGCAGTGCCACACCAAGGGTATCCTGCAATTTCAATATTGGACGTCGAACTTTTAGAAGCCCTATACGGCCCACCCCAGATATAAAAAGTAAGAAATCAAGGGATACTAGAAGGATATATTAATTGTAAACTTTAAACGTTTATCCCTTTGCAGATGTAAATAAAAAATCGAGTATTCTGGGACAAGAAATGATGGCGCCACCGTGTAATTCAAATTTGCCGCAAATCAAACAAAAAATACCGCATTCAGGTGTTTATTGCACGCCCAAAAAGTTGATACCATGTCGTTCGTGCAACGAGGTATTTAAAAATATTCTTGACTATACAAACCATAATCTCTCAGCACACGGCAACGGCTCTGCGAGAAAATTACTTGACCTGAAAGGTGATGCCTTATTCAAAGAAGATTGAAATAGAACCGAAAGCATCGCGAATCTTGATAAGATTTTTTTTATTGATCATTTTTAATTTTTTTTTAAACCATACTTTACATTGATTCAGAGGAAGAGACAACGAATCATTGCTGGTTAACCAAAAAACTTGGGAAAAAATTATTTATTGTTTTCCTCCTTTCAATATTCAAAATGAATAAAATGAATTGAAATTTTTAATTCTGTTTGGCTCTCTTCTCGGGTGGGGGTTTCATGTCAATCATTTCCTGCTTAATTTCAACACCCAGTGCTGTTACCGGACTTGCCTCGGAAGTAGTGCCATTACTAGAACTAATAGTGTTCGCATTCGAATCGGATGCTGCGGCATTATGTTCTTGGACATTAGCGTTGGATTGTGGTCCCGTCTGTTGCAATTGTTGCTGATGTAGATTTGGCGGTACTGGTGGCGGGAATTTCCGCAATAATTCAGCCAGCAGCATGTCAACACGTTGCATTTGAAAAACGGTGCCACTCTCTTCTTTATTAGACGTTGCATCTTTTTTTGCGGCAGCTTTAGATTTATCAGATACTAATGAGAAGAAGCAAGAAATTTATATTTATTTTACCATCTGAAGAAGTCTTTTTGTTTTTCTTATTTTTAACTACTTTCTGAACTTGCTAAGCGATCCTACGAAACGTGCGTAATTTTTAGGAATAAGAAGTTTGTTTAGCAATATATTGTCTACCACTAGGGCAAAGCTCTTTTCTCGGAATGTTTAAAAGAATTTCAAAGTTACTTACGAGCTTTGTTTGATGTAAAATCCCAAGTGTAACCTTTGTTAGGATGGTATCTGGAATAGCTACTAGCTTCCTCAAAGGCAAGTTGTAAATTTGTGACTGTCGACAACTATGACGATCAAACGAAAAAAAGATTATAAAAAGTAAGTTTCTACTGGACAAATTAACGCTTACAATTCTGGAATTTATAACGTTAGCCAAATCTGGAGCTTTATACACCATACCACCGATAATATAATAATCTGCTATAGGCAGAGCGTCGGTTGGGCTGTGACGATGTTGCTTACGAATAACATACAAAATCGGTTCATGGACATGCAGTAAAATATATTCCAGGCCCACCATATTACTGCAAAATGCAAACTATAGCACTTATTGAAAAAGGTAAAAAAATATTGACAAATCTTACTTTAAATTTTCCAATCCCAAACGTTGCATGCGTATATTTTCATTATTACACATACGATCGTAAAATGGATTCGATTTGCGACAAAAATAATCCATAACATTTTGTGGACTTAAAGAAGCCATCATTTGAGTGTCATGCCAAGATACCCATAAGGGATTTTCCTGGGATATAGTTTTCACCATAAGGTTACTCATTACAACAGTGAAATCCGTACCGCAATCACGAACTTTATAAGCTAGTAAATTACTTTCAATATTGTTTTTTCCTAATGTATTAGAAGAGTAAGTGTGTTTGTGTGAATATTAGTAAGAATTGACATCAGAATAAAATTAGTTGACGCGAGCACTGGAGCGGTAACTAAAATCGGCACTTTTTTTTTTATGCAGGTTGACGTATTCGCCGGTTAGGCAAAATGTTTGTTGATCTTATTATTGTGACGTTTTGTGTTTTAAAAATATCTGAAATTCAACAATGAAAGATCAACAAGTGCATTTACTCAGCTAAATAAAACCTCTATGTCTACCACACCACACTATTTTTAAAACACTTTACTCTTCTTTCCTTCTCCTATTTTCCGAGCCAACAATTGCTATAAATTAGAGGTCAATGTTGTTGATATGTTGAAATTTTAGTGTATGAAATTCTGCATACACGTACTCACGTATACAGTTTTAGTTTCCTATTTTGATTTATTTCGTTTTTATGGTGTTTTTACATTATTCAATAATTTCGTTGTGCAATGCATTATTTAGTTTTAAAATTGATTTAAAAATAAATGCCGTCTTTTGACTCTGAAGTTGCTGTTAAAACAGTTAAAGTGCAGGCGGAAATTTGCAATTGCAAGTAAGTCTCACATTTGTGGAAGTCACGTTCTATTTCACTTGCACTTTTTTGTTGTTTATAGTTTGCAGTTTGTTTTCTTAAATTTTTTTTATTTTTTTTTTATATAAAGTGGAAAAATTTGCAATTAACCTGATTTGCGTGAAGGTGTAGTTTACTAAATCAGCTGTTGAGCAAAATTCAAGTGCTGTCAATACTATTGGATTCTGTGCAGACTTGATCTAAAAAATAGAAAAAGAGATTTGCAAAATATTTTTCTTTATTTTATTTCAAAATGATAAACTTTCATATGATTGTTAACAATGTTTTGCAGCAACGGTTGCTCAAATATTTCCGCCTAAAAAAGATAAATTTAATAAGTTGGTATCCTTAAAGCATTCCAAGGTTGGAGTCATGAGTGATTCTAAAACCAGCAAATACGAAACCTGAAGCAATATTTTTGTGTGAAGTATGTAAAGACAAATTTCTTATAAAATCTTTTCTGGATGCACATAAACATTCACATGAACTCGACATTAATCCATCTAAATGCCTTAAGCGTCCCTCTATGGTACCAATGAAAACTGGTGGGTCAATTTTTGGTTCCGAAAATATATGTAAATAGTGCGACAAGAAATTCGCTCTATTACGAACCCTGAATATACATCTGTTGCAAAATTGGCTAACGATTCCTCCAGTTGGCAAGCGTAAATTGCAATTAACCGAAATGGATCACGTTGAAAAGGGACAATTGCCAAACGTTTTCCTTAATAAGGAACATAGCGATGCGTCGTCCAGCAATGCCACACCAAGGCCATCCTTCAATTTTAATATTGGATAAGTTTTTTTTATTTTTTTTTTATATAAAGTGGAAAAATTTCCAATTAACCTGATTTGCCTGAAGGTGTAGTTCACTAAATCAGCTGTTGAGCAAAGCTCAAGTGCTGTCAATACTATTGGATTGTATGCAGACTTGCTTTAAAATATAGAAAAAGAAATTTGCAAAATATTTTTCTCTATTTTTTTTTTCAAAATAATAATTTTTCATATGATTAACTATGTTTTTCATGCAAATTTTATTAGTCGTACATCAGCTTTTCATTCTTTTGTCGGCAACGCCACTACTTGAAACACAATTAAAGCTATCCCTTGAAAACGTAGAAAAACATTCGATTTACAGATAACAACGAAAAAAAATTATAAAAATTTTTCCTATTTGTATTGCACCGGCAATTTATGCTGACGTTTCACGGAATTTTTGCATTACTAGTTAATTAATTTGCTCGTTTGGATATATTAAGTTACCTCGTTAGGCGGCCGTTGAAAAGTGTGCCGCGACTATCAGTCATTCTTTAAGATTCTTACATATGTATTTTATCTAAATTTTGGCACTTTATTAATGTCGAATAATAATCGAGATGATTAAAAACAAGTAACAAAGCCATTTTTGTCGCAAATACTTGCTGTTGTGAATTCAAAGTTTGTTTATGAAAATACTTTAAAAATGTTTCGCTTCTTACTTTGGTTTTCCCAAAAAAATAAATGAGCGGCGATCCCATCTATTTTCAAAATTGTGTTAGAAAATTTCAATGGAAAATAAGCATAGTTTTTTTGTATGTATTCGCGTATATGCATATACGCCAAAAATATAACGCTTTTGTTATTAAAAAAAACTTTTTTCAAAGTTTCTTATGTGTAGCAACACTGCTTCCGTATAATGAATTTTTAAAACAAAACAAACAAAAAATAAACATTTTCAAATTTTGTTGTTTCCCTTGTTTATTTATTTCTTACATTTGTATTCAGTGTTTCGATGGCTGTGTATCTTATCTACGTCGAAGCTAAATATAAATTATAAGAAATTATATGAAAATGTTTATATATCTTTGGAAAGAATAGATATAAACAAAAAAGTAAAACATATAACAATAAAGGGAGCGGAAGGAAAAAAATTCAATTTATTTATAAATAATTTCTTGATGTGTTGGTGTAAATTTGTTTTTTGTAAATTAAAATTGAGAGAATATTAAAGAAGCGTCGCCATAAAATACTTCGAAAAAGTCCATACCATTGGTGCTTTTCTCAGTCCGTGCTGTGCTTTGCATCGTGGCGGCAGCGGCATTACTCAGGAAGAAAGAAATAATCGAGATATCATTATGGTAAAACAACATAGAGAAAATCCATATTAATAATGCTATTTATTAAATATTAATAAACTCGTTTTGTGTGCGTAAAAGTGTGTGATTCACTTTTCTTTTTTGACGTGAAGTGTTGCTACGTTGAAAATAACGCATAATGACCATAATTTGTGTTACTAGTAATTTTACGTAATTTTTTTTTTTAATCCAGCGATGTTCAGTCAATTATTGCTATTATGCAACGATATGTTTGTTGACTCTCGTACACTCATTTCATTTTCATATTGAATTGACATATACACTTGCATGGAATACCAGTTTTCCATTTTTCTAGTTCGATTAACAAGACGTAGATATAAAAACAACAAACTGCTAAGCCTTGATTTCCTTTTTGCAAACATTTAGCCAATTAGACACAATTCACAAAATAGCCTCGATTTTGACATGAGCTGACTTACATATATGACTTGTATACACGAATGTGGGTGAGAGAACAAATTTAATTTTTTTGGCAAACAAATAGTTGAATTGTATTTATCATTTTGGAATTTCATTGTCAGCAAACGCACATATAAATATATAATCATTTCTCATGGTTGTGTGAGTGTAAAGAAGCTGAACGGTTTTAATTCCATCGAAAATATAGGGAATGTTCTTCTTTTCAAAACGTTTGCAGAAGGAAGCTTTAGAGACCCCTCCATAAAGTATAATGTTACCGTCAGCATAAATAAATGACTCTCTAGGCTTAATTGAAGTATAAGTACGTCCAAATAAATAGTATTCTAGGTTTGTTTTTTCTCCAAATAAAATATCCACAAATCTGCGTTAAATATTTTTTAGTCTCTATGTTTATATTTGTCAATGTGTTCATTTTTATTAATTATTCAAAAACTTCAAAAGATTTCGTTTATTAATTTAAAAATTTTCATATTTGCTTTTTCTAGATTTTTTTAAAATTTTTTGTCAAGCACCGCTTTAATATACACCTTCAGTATTTATATTTGCTTTATATATTATGCGCTATTTAGAAACGGATCTATACTTTGAGGTATAAAATAAGTTTTAAGTAAAAATTATGCGAAATAATTTTCTAATTCTATTATGCATAGTTGGATACGAAGTAAGGGTGAAAGATAATATTCTTAATGTAAATTTTTTAGGGTCTTCCACCGTTTAATGTGTCTGGAAGTCCTTTTAATGTGGTGCCAATACATCATTATCCCGAGCTAATGAAGGCAACGTGTGCGCTTATTAATGCCGAATGGCCACGCAGCGAAACGGCTCGAATGCGTTCATTGGAGGCGTCGTGCGACACATTACCATGCAGTTTAGTTTTAACAACAGAAGGTTTTAATCGTGTTATAGCGCATTGCAAACTTAGCCCAATACAAGCAAAAAAGAAGGCGTGCTTTATTGAATCTGTGGTGGTGGATAAGAGTTTTCGTGGGCAAGGCTTTGGAAAACTAATTATGAAATTTGCCGAAGATTATTGCCGCGTCGTTTTAGATTTAAAAGTAATTTATTTGTCGACTATCGATCAGGACGGTTTCTATGAACGTATAGGCTATACGCATTGCCCACCTATATCAATGTACGGACCTAGGCATTGCGAATTACCAAGTTTGAAGACTGCAACTAAGAAATACATGAAGAAGGAATTATAAAACATTTCCATGAAATGTTAGTGATAAAAAAAAAGAAAAGAAACACTGCTTGGATAGTTGTTGGGAACTTTTTCTTTATATTTCAAAGAAACACTAGAAGAATTTGTAAGATTCTTCTTGGCTTCAAGGAAATGGAAGAAGAGAAACAAACGATATATCAACGCCATAATTGCTCACTGCTTGTTTAACAAGTTAACGTAGTTTTAGCAAATCATTTAAGGATGTTCGGCTTCTTTAATTAATGTTATAGACTCAACACAAGCGCAAGAACAAAAAATTAATACAAGGAGTATCTAATCAAATGCCTTAACTATCGAAAAAATATTAAATAATATTTATATTAAAATTAATAAGCTAGGGTTGTAGCTATACGTAATCAATCGAATATCGGATAACCAAGTAGACAATTAAACGCGAAACCAAATACATATGAAATTATATCTCACGAATGTTTTAAAAATTTTTAAAGAATTTCATTAGAAAGGTTGTTAATAATTATAGAATATATTTTATATACGTACATACATACATTGCTATATGTTAGTCTAGACTTTCCACATTAATCAAACGAGAACAAGTAAGAAAATGAAAATAAAAAGAGAAAAAATAACAATAACAAGAAACTATGCTTTTACATGCATATGTAATAAAATTCTGCATAAAAGTTTTAATTGCTTTGCCAAAAAAAAAAAACAAAAAAAACAAAAAAAAACCAACAGCAACGACATGAAACGAGAAATACAACAAAACAAGCGTAAGATGACGGGCGATGCAATTTGCTCTGCTAGTTCAAGTTCAAGATGATATTCTCGCGTGTAAGCACATCGCTCTTGTGAATGAAGATACTTTAAATTGGAATAGTGCAAACACACAGTGTTTTATATCTCTTTGTCGCGAGATATTTAGATTCAAATACTTACATATATGTACATATATACATAGAAGGATGCATTTATGTTAAACATATGTTGAAAAATAGTTTTTAAAATATAAAGAAATATAGAAATAACTTTTAATTGTTGTTTGTAGAAAATTTACAAGCTTGACATTATTTTAAAAAAGAATTTATATTAATTGCTTAAATAATTATCGTAAACATTTCCGCACAAATTTAATGCTTACATTTATTTTTATGCCAATCAACAAGGCAATAGGAACATAGCGAACAAAGATGTGTTAATTTTCTCAGTCCATTTGCGACGTTTACCATATTAAGGAACGTGTCAACCTACGTTAAAATATGTCTGCTGCGCATAGATATGCAGCTATTTATCACTTTTTCATTTAATTATCAATTTTGCATCTGTCCTACGTGTATGAGACGAACTTTGAAATCGTTATAAACACTTTAGATATACATATATGTACAAATTGTCCGACGAGACTTTTTTAACTGATTTTCAAGCCAGGAAACGAATTTTTGGAGATAAAGTTTTGTTTATGATATAATGGATTCATAGCTCTTAGAAAGAACAATATCAATCAAAACACCTTTTCAAGAAAAGGAAACTTGCTCTCGACTTCTATCGATTGAGCGTCGTCAGATTAAGCTTAAAACGCAAATCAGCCAAATTTGAGGACAATTTACAATTTAGGATTTTGAGCCTATTTACACAAATACCAAAGCAAATGATAACTGGATGATTTTGCCGCTTGTATCGATCTAGGCAAGATGACAATCAACAGTTTCCATCGCTTGCACTTTCTTGACTCTTGAGCAGATTGCTTTAAGGTGTAATTTCAAATCTCACAACTTGGCAGTAGTCTACAAATGATCGCTTCAAACCGAAGAAATGAGAATAGTGCTTAAAGATCTTGCAATTGTTAATGAGTTTCATAACGATTCGATCGTTGGTGCCTTTGTTGTCTTGATGTTTGCAAAAATTCAAGGATATGTTGGAAATATAACATACATAACATACATTTTATGCATTAAAACACTTTAGAAGAGCTACCGCAAAGGTATTTACGTGATTACGCAGTCTGACGAAATATTTTGAGGAAATGCATTGTATTAGATTTCTAATGAAATGGAAAATCCAGGTCATCATAAATAGTTTGTTGCTAACGAACCATGGGACATTAACAATAAGGCGGAAAGTTTCAGATTGAAACTTTTTACGCTTACTTACTGCCATAAGTCCAATAGGTTGGCGGATAGATTGCATAAATTGTAAAAAAAGGAAACACTGTCCATAGACTGATCGAATTGTGATGAAAAAAAATCAAATTTTGTTCATTTCAATACGTCTAGACATTAGAAACTTTAGACAAATCCAATATAATACAAAAATAATACGATTTTCTTTTTTGCTTAAGCACCCATTTAGATTTCATAATTTAAATTGTTAATTGAAGGAACCAAAGTATAAATATATATAAAAATATACATACATTAAACTGTTCGTTCATATTATAGTACTGTAAATGCTTAAGTTTACAAAAAAAAAACAAAAAAAACTTGTACAAATAAATGAAATACGCGTCATGCATATCATGCACATATTTGTATAATGTCGTTAAAATTCTTTTCAATTAAAGGCACTATAAATGGATTTCATTGCGTTAGTCATTTTTCTTGGCAATGCCGCAAACTTGACCCAAATGCTCAGGTTGATCCAAAGAGTCCACAATAAATTTGGCCAAATCATATTTGGAGATAGAACGGCCTGGCGCTTCGTCATGCAAAACGGTATATGCTGTTGATGGTTCATCGGCAATATGTGGCGGTAAAATGGCTATAAATTCCAAATTAGATGCCTTTGTCAACTCCAACATGCGTCGATGTTCATCATTTAAGCGATGAAACATTGCAGGCACTTCGGAATCGGGACGGAATAGAAATGAAGACATAACGATCGAAAATCGTTTGATATTTTCAGCATTCATAGCTTGTATCAAATTTGCTGTGCCTCTTGAAAGTTCAGTGGTGGCTTCAAGTTTATTACGCGTACCTAATATAACACAAACTCCGTCAACTCCTTCAATAACACGTTTACAATCATCGTAGTTTACAACATTGCCCTGACAAAGTTCAACTTTGCCTTTAAAACGTTCGGGTACGGTGGCCTCAGAGCGATACAGTAAACGTACTTGAAGACCTGCAAATATATCCACCCATTTATAATGTAGAGTAAATAAATTTTCCTTTTTAAATCTTGATTCCATTGTATACCTTTTTGTAAAGCATAATCCACGACGCATACGCCGGTCATTCCGGTTCCACCAATTATAGCAATACGTTGCATAATGTATAAATGTTACTTGATCGTCGGTTAAAATTATTAGTTCTTTTATTAGAACAATTTAAGCAGATCAAAGTTACCTACTGATAAAATTCGCAGTAAAGTGCGAACTATTTGCTAAGCAAACAAATAATAATAATTATTGCTGGATTTATTGTAATCTATATATATGTATACATGTGTATACAGGCGTGTATACGAAGTTATATATATGTGCTTTCGTTGACTTGTGCGTTAATTACAAAAGCATATTAATTCACAAAATTACTTTCTTTAATAATTACTACGTCAAGTATTAATAACTTTTTTATTTTGCAAAATATAAAGACTATTATATTTTGGCCTACAAAACCAATTGTTTACTCAGAGAACAAAAATCTAAAAATCATACTTTTCTCTTTATCTAAACCAGGGCTGGTTTGCAAATTACAATTATTTAGAATATTGTGACATGTTTGAAAATGTCATATAAACCTCATCATAGTTATATTGAACGACTCCGCTGTAATACGATTTGAATGTACACATAGCGAAGCGAAAGGTGTGGTCAGGACTAATAGAGGCTGTTGGATCTTTGATTTCTCTCTTATTGGTAAAAATTTTAATAAAACGCAGAAATTCTCCTATGTTTAAGTCATGTACGGGAGTATCATCACCAATCACCGTTAAATCTGATAAGGAACTAAAGTAGAATAATATAACCCCGAACAGAAAAATTTAATATTATATGAACATTAAACAACTGCGCCGTAACAGACTTGTAATAAACTAAAGTAAACTAAACTAAACAATTACCGAATTGAAATTTAAAATGTTATGAAATTTCATTTTTATTGTTCCCCTTTTTTTATGTTACATATCGAAATCACGTAATCACTTAGAAAGTTTACGTTTAAAAGTTAATTTCAGTGCGAATAGGATTGAATGTTATCAATTCCTTTTCCTATTCCATTCCTTTTTTTCGTTAAATAAAGGAATGTATAAATTAAATTACTTCCTTTATTTCAATTATTAATATAATCTTATGCTTTAATTCCGACTTTATTAAATTACTTTCAAAAAAATTCATTCACTACGCTACGTTCGTATGCTGGTCTGTAATGGAATCTGAACGAAATAGCAAATGTGTATAGGGCACTCCACTTAACTGCAATTCTGTTTAACGGCTACGGCAGCATTTTTGAAAAAGTATGCATTGATTTTATTGTCAACGGTCCGTTAAGACCAAATATGGGATGTCATAAGTCATTTCATATTGGGTTTTATTGATATTCGCAATGAATATAAATGAGGAAGACTTCGCAAATTCAGATGCGTGGCTTTCGGAGCAATTGTTTGCACGGTTGAAAGATTTCAATACGGATTTTAAAGATAGAAACAATGCATCAACTCCGATGATAAATGATTCTTTTCAAAATTATCCTCATGATGCGCAAAATGCTAACGGGATACCATTAAAAGAGGACGGCACAGAACCAAGCAAGAAAAGCCTAGAGTCGCTTGATATGATTTTTAAAAAGAATAAATGTAGTCTGAACGAAACGTACGACTTGAATTTCGAAGTGTTGGACTTAAGTACTACAGGTAGCAGAATGCCAGTGGTAGGTCACGTTTCTCCTCCTATGGTCGAATTTACCACCACCATGCCTCTAGTATCCGCGCCAGTTGTTGCAGAAGCTGCTGCAGTGGTCAGTGAGGCAGCGAAGCAAAATATTTCACCTACTTTCGATCCAACTGAAGAAGAATTGAAATTATTAAAATTTCTCGAAACACAACCAAAAAACACTTTTTTGGGTAAGTGGATTTCTACACACAGGAAACTTAAACAAATAGAATTGAGGGATATCCGTTTAAATTTAGATCCGAAAATGTTTATGCAATCGGAATTACCATCCACTGCATATCGTATAGTGAAATGTGCAAATTGTGAATGTTTGTTTGATATAATATCTTTTCAATCGCACGTTTGCGATTATGATGAACAGCACAACTTAGTAGTACCATCGATAGCGGCGTCTAGCAACTTTGACAAGCCAGTTAGATATCAATTTCTACTACCGGCGGAGCCTGCATGCGTACGCTTGTTAAAAGAAAATCAGATACGTATACGACGCTTTCTGAAAGATGAACTCAAATATGACGTCAACGCTACTGGAAACAGTAGTACGGTTAGCAGTCTTCATTTAATTGTCAACACTAGCTCCAGTTCTAGTGGTCTTAACACACCAACAGATTCTTCACTATCCAGTAACGGTTCAACGAATAAAAAACAAGATGGTCCTCACGATTGCACATTATGCGAAAGAAAATTTGTACATGCATCCGGTTTGTTGCGGCATATGGAAAAACATGCTCTGGATTTAATACCGACAACAGTATTGAATGGCAACAGTAGTGGCAAAACTCCGGTCGCGCAAGGCAATTCATTACGAAGTGTCAATGGCTTGCGTCTGGTTATTAAATGTACATTGTGCGGTCGTATATTTTTCGAACCGAATGCGGCGTTTAAACACCTTTGCAGTCACTTTCCACTTTCAGACAAAAAAGAACCTGATAACATTGCTGACATTCCCTATGAAACTTATGTAGACGACGCTTCGAAATATCTAAAGATGGAGGTATGTGGCTTAAAATGTTAATGTGGTTAAAACATTTTCGCTAAAGAAATATTGTCTATACCTTTGCCAGACCAAACGGCCTTCTCCGTCCATGAAAACCTATCAACACGAAAAAATGGTTGTCTATTTAAAAATGACAATTTTAAGTTGTGTTCTTCAGTGCGAGTTTTGCGATTTATTATTTTCGGAAGTATCGTTTTTATTTTTTCATTCGGCTTGTCATCTACCCGAAAGGCCTTTCGAATGCTTTGCTTGTGATATACATGCAAGAACTTCAAAGGAAATATGTACCCATTGGCAGGCTGAGTGTGTGTTCATGCGTGAAAGTGTTAAAATCTATCACGCCACAACTCAACGCTACTTTGCTTGCAACGTTTGTGAGAATAAGTTTCAATCATTAGATCAATTGCATGGGCATCGGTATGATATTATTTCGTGAAATTCAAAATTTTAGGTTTAGTGTAAAAAAAAAAAAATCTATTCTTATTTCAGCTATACTTCGCATCATTTTTTTCCTCGCCTTAATAAGCGTTTGGGCGTTTTGCAATTACCTTGCGAATGCTGCGACACGTTTTTCCAAAATGCCCAAGAGTGCGTGAATCATTATGAGGCGAAACATTATAAGAAATATAAGCGAGAAAAAGATGGTACTGGTAATGTTAGCAAGACTCGACAATATCTATGTGACATTTGTGGTAAATCATATACGCAATCTAGCCATTTGTGGCAGCATTTGCGTTTTCATCAAGGTGAGAAATATTCAGTTTAGCAGTGTAGACTTTTATGCCCACTACCAAAGAATGGGGATGTACAAACCTGATCATTTCGCTTGCAACATATTGGAGACTTTGAAACCAATTATGATAAACTCTAGCAAAACCGTGCTGAAGCCATAATTGCGCAAGGCGCTAAAGGTAAACTTTGTATATATGCGCTCAAAAACTTTTTGATAAGAGCATTGCATAATGCTACCCTAAATACATATATATATATATGTGTGTCTATAATATAAACGAAAAATCATTGTCCTTTAAATTTAAATTCATGTACCTTTTCATCCATGCTAAGCTTAATGTAATCGTGTAAGAAGAAAATTGAATTTATCTTTCTGGACCATGTTGAAATCGGCGAATTAAGGTTGTCATTCCGTTCGCAATGTCCAAATAGTCGCAGGAGATATATTTTGTACCCATATACCTCTTCTCTTAATCAATCTAAAAGTTTTAAGACTACTTAGCCTCTGGCCAGTTATGAAATTAAAATGAAATGAGATTTGAAAATGAGCATAACTCACTCGCAAACATAAGTAATAAATAAATATCAATCTGAACTTTGGCCGTGCGAAAGTTTCCCATTCGTTCATTGATATGCCCACAGTTATTAAAATGTAAAGGTGGTGGGTATCCAAGTTTCGCTTGAGCACGGATATTGCTCTTTCTTACGTGTCATTGTTTTTTAAGGTGTTAAGCCATTTGCTTGCAAAGAGCCCGGCTGTTGTCGAAAGTTTACTATACGACCCGATTTAAACGATCACATACGCAAATGTCATACCGGCGAACGACCATATCATTGTTTAGTGTGTGGTAAACGCTTTCTGACCGGTTCTGTGTTCTATCAACACCGGCTTATACATCGCGGTGAACGCCGCTACGAATGCGAAGAATGTGGCAAACGTTTTTATCGGGCCGATGCCTTAAAAAATCATCAACGTATTCACACTGGAGAAAAGCCCTTTGGTTGTTTATTTTGCACAAAGAATTTCAGACAAAGAGGAGATCGAGACAAGCACATAAGAGCACGTCATTCTCATTTGGACGCCAATGCCCGTCTAATGATGCAGATGCAGAAATTGCAATTGGAGGCAGCGGCCGCCGTTGCAGCAGCTCAAGTTCAAGCTCAGCAAAAGCAAGAAACACCAAACGCATTGGCGTCGTGGAATTCATTGCCCATTAATAATAATGAGAATACTCTCCCAAGTCTCCCAATTTTATACGATCCAACAATGGCAAGTGATCGCAAAGATGTAGTTATGGTGGGAAATGTCGCTTTCCCTAAAAGCATGTTTGAACCAATAATGCCCGACATCGATGAAGAATTAGCTATTAAAGCTATGCATCAAATGCAGTAATTATTGTTTCAGTGAAATTTCGTTTCTCATTTTGTTTTATTTAAATAATTGTGTAATCAAATGTTTTCTTTCTTTTTTTTTTTTTTCTGCGCATTAAAAAATATTTACTCACAAAAAGAGAATTATGAGAATTTTTCTATGATTATCCTCCCTGAGAGCAATTATAGTGCAAGCTTGAATTTTATAACTCACGTTCAGGTAAATCATAGAGAAATTCCTAAAATCCTTCAAAATTTACAAGTAATTCCACGACTTTCATTTGGATGACACTAATTTATATTTAAGAAGAAGGGATAGGTGTAATTTTGTGCAGATATTAAACGTCAGTATTAAATCGAGAATGTGCAACCCATATATAACAAATTAATTGCTTAACTCTATACTCTTGCAAAATTCCAACATGACGTAGAATGGTGATACGATTTAGAGTTTTTCGATCGAGAATACTTTTCTCTAGCTTACGAGCAATATCAACGGACGTTATGAATTTGTAACCTTTAAAGAAAAAATTTGTTAGGAATTTAAATAGGAACATTTTGACTGCATGCTTTGCTTACCTCCTGATACTAAAGTTTCCTGATCATTGTATGTTTTCCATAATTCTAAATCATTTATGTTACGGAGGACCACATTACGCGGTCTTGGCAAAAGTTCATACTTTTCATTGAAACATTTTATAATGACATCCTCCAAGAAATTGTTAATATCTGTGAAAGTTTCTCGTCCAAGCATGTATCTAAATGGTGAAAAAAAAAATTAATTATCTGAAATTATACTTTTGTTTTTTTTTTTTTTTATTGATTTGTCATACTTTGGTATAGATTGAAATTGTTGTTTTGTAATGTTGACATCAAAATCTGAAAATTTGATCGCCGCATTATTAAGTCTTCGTTTTATTAACGGCGATTCCTTATAATCACTGATTCTTATCTTAGGAGTTCCTTGATTCAATTGTAATCGTAATAAACTCGAACCCAACAATTTTATGTCAGAGTTTGTGGCTCCATCTACATCGCTATCCCGAAGAGGTTTTCCTTTCCTAACATTCAGTCGATGAGATTTCAGTTTTCGAATATCTGTAACGGGATCTTTTTGCAGCTGACGCTTCTTTTCTTCTATAATAAAATCCATCATTTCAGTTTGATGATCCCTCATTCGCTTCATGGCATCATCACAATCCGCTTGTACGTCATTCAACTCCTTTTGCATTACTTTGTGTCCATGGCTCATGAGACTACTCACCTTATTAGCTTGTTGCAAGAGCCTTTTTAGTTCATTGGAAATTTTGTCTCTTTTCAAACTTAATGAAATAAAGTCATTCAATTTATTAATTTTGGCTTCAATTGAGCTTAAGTCTTCATAAATTTTTTCCATTTTTTTCCCGGAGTTGATTTAAGAAAACGAGAAATTTGAACGTATGCCAGAAATTGAAATTAAAAATAATGTAAGCGCCAAGGTAGGCTCTTTTCTAACTTCTGAATATTTTTCGTATGAAAAGAATAATATTGCCTTGTATTGAAATTTTTGTTAATTTTCAGTATAGTAACCCTATATAATAATTTATTAATTTAATATGGAACATTTTTTGGGAATACATGAGATTAAACGAAAAAACGCCGCTGCTAGCCGTTGTAGACAAGGAATACTTTATTTAATCAATTAAACTTTGCTTACAGATCTGTTTTACATGTGCCGAAAGCAAAAAAAATCAAATATACAAGACTCATATAAAATTTATTAGCATAAAAGACAATTGATGAAAGAAGAACAGAAGAAAAGCATTGAAAAAATCACTGAAAGGTTTTTTATTATTCTTTTTTAAAATTTTCCCGTTTTATTTGACTACGAAATCCCCTTTATTAATCGATTCATCTAATCATATGTGAAAATTCCAGTGCTAGAAAATGCAACACTGTGTCATATACAACTTTGAGATTATTTGCCGTCCATGTTTTTTTCCTTTTGCGTTTACGAAGTGTAATAGCCAACATGGGCTTTGCTAATTTGTGGTATTCTCATCCTCGTAAATATGGTCAAGGCTCCAGATGCTGGTAAATAAAATATCTACACAATATTTGGGATGAACAAAAGTCCTGAATTACATAAAAAATTAGTTCAAAGATTTGTTAAAAGTAAAACTTGATGAAAGTGAGGTTATGTTAACATTGCATTGGAATTCTCAAGTGTATACATTTTGTATGCATAAAAAAGAAGCCCCCAGTTGAGTACGGAACTTGCCGAAATTATGCAAAATTGCAAGTTCCTTAATTCAGGGAGGCGAAAGAAAAAAGATCTTATTTTTGCTTTGATATGAAAAACAAATCAAGTATTATCGATAGTTTTGTTTTTTTGCAATTTATTAAGAAACATTTACATACGTGCACACGCACAATACGCATATAGACTCATAAATTTTTTTGTGAACTCATTCAAGTTGTATTTTCTTTCACTAATGTTCTTACAGTCGTGCCTGCTCTAATCGTCACGGTTTAATTCGTAAATATGGTTTAAATATTTGTCGGCAATGTTTCCGGGAATATGCCAGCGATATTGGCTTTAAGAAGGTAAATATATATGTTTTCAAATCTCTACTTCAGTATATATCAACAGCAGTTTTCATTTTGTTACAGTTGGATTAAGCACTTTAGCGCTTGACTCGGCTACTGATTCTCATATTAAGGCGCAAAGTTTAACATAAAATTTTTAAACTCTGTGACTTAATATGCTTTAAAAAAACTTATCATTTTAGAGTTTAAATAAGTTTCGTCAACACAGATATGTAGATGAACGGATAAGGAACTATAGGTCTTAACGCAAATCGTGTATAAAGTTTAAATGATTTATCACAAATTGTTGGAGAATTACTTATTGAAACTTTCAAATGATTAATAAATAACAAGCTTAAAAAATCTACTTCAAATTTTTTTTATAAAGGAACCTATTAATATCTAGTTTGTTAGTTGTACAGCTATGGAAATTTATCTTTCTAATTTCTAATTGGTTTTCTATCGGACCTTAAATAAGTATTTAAATTAAAAACGATTACACGAACTATTCCTGCGCTTCTAGTGTTTGGTGAATTATTTGCTTTGAATTCTTGTAGTTATTAATTCTTAGTTGGTAGTAACTCGGTTTAGCAAAAGAAATATAAAAGTCTTCATAAAATATATAGTGATATTGTGTTATTCTCGTTATATTTGTGCAGATGATATATTCATGCGTATATAGTATCAATATATCTTGTTTGGTCATGTCAACGATATTATATTGATATCTGCCTACAGCGAAAGATGAGTTTAGATTCCTAAGACTACGTTGGTTAGCCTATAGGTAAGTGAACTTTCCACAACTACGCTTTCTTTACGTTGCTATTCAATTAATTGTACATTAGTCTCAATACCTGATAATCTTTTTCTAAACTTTAAACTACACGTTTTCAATAATTGTAAATTAAAAATATCGCAATAACTGATGGAATTTAAGTTCAAAATATGTTATTTACATGTGACCAAGAATTAAATGCTTATTCTATTGAATTGTCGTTCTCCATTTGTTAAACAAATTAAAAAAAAAAAAGAAGAAGAAGAGTTTGTGTGCGCCAAAATTAATTTGCTGAAAAATTTTACTCTAAGCGTATTCTCTGTGCTCTCTGAACGAAAAAGAGCGGCATAAGTCACGAAAAAATCTTGAAAAGTTTTTTCGGTACCTTATCGAACAAACAACAGAAATGTATCAATATAAAGTCAGCTCTGCAAGCGCTCAAAGTAATAGCATACAAAAATAATAAGATGAGAAAAAAAGTGCTCAGTCAACAATGTGAACGCTTGATTAAAAGCGAAAAATACAACGAAAATGTAACAATTAAAATAAAACATCGCGAAGAGCACCGAGAAATCCTTATTGCAGAGCTTAACATCGAAGGAGAAGGGAATACTCCAAAAGCTCAAGGAATCTGTTGTGATTTTGCTTTGTCTGGTCACATTTTATCATGAAGGCGGATATAATCTGATATATCGATACGTTAGGTCAAAAGAGGCCGCTTATTGCTATAAGCTGCCTTAAAAACATGGAACGTTAGTGAAGCTTTAGTAAATTTTTTCTTTTGAAAAATGTATATTCTTTTTAATTTCGAAATGCATTCACTAAAAAAATGAAAAGCAGTAAATTTGTTTGCTAACAAAAGATTGCTCGGGCTTAGCCGAATCAAATCGTTACATATTAAATAAGCGTGAGTTAAGTGATTTTTTTTTTTTTTGATTTAAAATTTTTCTGTTTACTTTTTCGTATATGATGGTATGTATGATTTGGCTAGAGAAAAACTAAATGTATAGGTAACGATGCTTATCAATTAATAAATAAAGTATAAAACAACAATGCAATTAAGCGGTTCAATCAAGTGCAATGCTCTGACTAACTCACTAACTTGGTTTAAAGCCAATGTTGAAGAAGCAGGTTTTTATTTTGGTGAAGGCTTTTCAGAAAATTCGTTGGTTAATACTTGTGTGTAAAAAAAAACAAAGACACTGTTATTTATGTTTAAGTTAAGCTAACAAATCTTTACGTAGTTTTAAATATGTTATGTTATGGTTTTTGCAAAGCGTACAAATCTGCAGACTAGTTGGTTGGGTATGAAGTAAACTCTTCATGTTTATAAAAACCAATACTACAGTCTAAAGTTTAACTTCAACCAAGGCGCACGCGACTTTTAAGTTAGTGGAAATGGAAATTTTATTCAAAAATTTTTTGAATAAAAATGAATGAACTAAAATAAAATTCAAAAGTGTTACACGTAATCAAATGGCAATTGAAAGATTTTATATATAAAAAAAAAAAAAAAAAAAAAAAAAAAATTCATTTCAACCTAAACAACTATCAAAACTATCTATCAAAATTGTTTTAAGACATTGATGAGCGTCAATTATTTAAGCTTTAAGGTCAATACGATCTAATGTTTGCCGCAAAGCTGAAAAATTTGCATAAAATATTATTTATTTTTTTGTAAAACACTGCAAAAATATGCATTTTTATCGTTGGTGTCTGTTGCAAGCGGCATTTTACATTGGCTTAGTTGCAATCGCTTATGCAAGCCGCAGGGAAGTTGGACAACATTTAGCGGAAGTAAATCAACCAAATGCAGAAACTTTATTGCAACCAATAAAATTCGGCCTTAAAACTGCAACGAAGCAGTCAAAACCGGAAGATATTTCGACTTTTAATTATATAAGAAATGGAACTTTTGCAAAAAATAGTTCCATTTTACCGATCAATCAAACGATAAAACATTTTAACTCTACACGACCGGGAATAGATGAAAAGTTTATACAACAGCTTGATATTCCCACAAAGGGTACGTCAACAGGTCATCAGCAACATTTGCAATTGCAATTGAAACAAAATCAGCATCAGCATCAGCCTGAGAAACGTAAGCAACGTTCACGTACATCATCTGAATATAAAATAACAAATCCCATGCAATTAAATATGCAGCCTAAAGAAATCCATAGACAAGCAATTATTCCGATTACAAAAAAAGCAATACGTGCGACTTCTTCGGCATATCAGCAACAAAAATCACTAACAACACAATTCCCACCATCGTCATCATCATTTTCATCGTTATTTTCAGCTGCAGCAGCAGCAACAACAACAACAAAAACAACGCAACATAATGTGAATAGCGGTAACAATAACTCTATCGCTGTTGGCAATAAAAGCCCTAAAAATTATAATAACAATAAAGACAACAAAAGCTTGCAATTGTCTAACGCTATTCAACTGGAGACTTTTCCTATTTCGAATGGAACAACAACGAAGTCTTCGATGCTTAGGCATAATAGTCGATCAATTGTTAGAAAATCTTCGGCACGTGGTAAACCTGCCCAACCAACCGGTAAGTATGGGATTTTCATAATAAAATTCTCCAACTCCCGATCGAAATATAGCCTTACAGCTGTAATAAGAATAGCGGATATGTCCTTGCGATTTTGCCATCTGAAGGACCAAATAGCGAGGGTTAGTTACTAAATCGATTTGAGCGAATCTCTCTATGAATTTCTTCGCTTGCGCTTAGCTATTCTCTTTCATTGCAAAGTTCGCGATTGCAAGAATTCAGGTTGATGTATGATGATGATTCTCGGGTCAACTTTAAAACAAATGCATTTTTAATTGCTCTAAACCGCAAATATTCTATATGATTACAATTCAGTATAAAACCAGTATTGGTCGACCGAGTGATCAACAGCCGTAATTTAGACAAAAACTTACTATAAGTGATACACAAATTCGTTGCTTGTTACATTTGCAGACCATGACCTACTCATAGTAGATGCTTTACTAATTTACTAAACTATGGTGGGTCACGCTCCCTACCATTGAACACCTTGCATCACTTCACTTAATGCGGTTATGCATCCAACAATTTTTCAAAATAAGGCATTACATGGGAAGTGGTCCAATGCGAATGATTTCCAACAGCATACGCCCTCGGACCAAAGCAAGTCAATGTACTAAATTTCCTTGGAAATTCCGAATTGTAAATTGAATACAAGACACACAGACGAACAGAAAACTTGGAAAGCGATTCTGAATCGTTTGATATAATAAAAAGATGAGTCTACCTCAAGTCTTTCTGGGTGTTCCCAAAAATATGAAAATTCTTGAAGCAAAGAAATAACAAAAAATAAATAAATTTGTATACGGCGGGGGCCGATTCTCGCATACCCTTCGCCGCTTTCATGCTTTTCGCATTCTACTCCCCAAGCTGCTTTATTTGATACCCATATTGCTGGTATTATTAAGAAAAATTTAATCGCGGCATTTACCATATTCATTTTCGAATTAACCCATTTTTAGGCATATAAAATCTCTTCATAGTTTTAAATATTCTGCCTTGTATGCCTTATGATAAATAAGCATAAAAACTGAAAAAAAAAAAATGAAAAAAACTAAATTTACTCACTTGTAAATTTGTGTGGGTGTTGCGGATGTTTTCCATTTTTGCACGTAAGGAGTAGAGTGTTTCGTAAAGTAATTGTAGAAAATTTCAATCTTCTAACTTTGATCGTTTCTGAGTAACGCGCAAAAATCTACAAATCTTTGTTAAGAAGAACCTAATTGCATCCAGTTTATGCTCCACAACGGGCTTCTGCTCCGACCAATTTGGCCTATTTTCAATAGCAATCTGCGTGGAAAAACTTCCAATATTTCTACCAAATTTAAATTCGACAGCTTTATTTTGACGATCAGAAGAGTGCCAACAACAAGGACCACTCAGACGGATGGACGGATAGACATGTCTAAATCAATTCAGAATTTCATGCTGATCAAGGATATGTAGGCTCTCCGAAGCCTCCTCCTTTTGGGTGTTACATATATTATGGAAAAAAACAAAACCAAATGGGTATACACCACCCCTCACCTTATAGTGGTGGAGATAATTAAATGATATTTCAAAAATTAAATTATTTTCATATAATTTTTTTTTGGAATCTTTTCATAAAAATGATTTTCTTCAGGGGAAGTGTATGCTGTTTATATGCCCATGGCCGTATATTAATAGTCGATTATTTCAAATGTTATGTGAAATTATTTGTGAGGCAAAAATAACAAATTAAAGTGTTTACGCAAGAATTGAAAAAAAAAACCTAATTATAAAACTTTTTTGGATTTTTTTTTGTTTTTTTTTTTATTTTCAATTCTTTTTATTTATAAAGTGTATCGCCGTAAACTTTGCTTGCATTGATTCAAAACTTCATTTATTCTTAGCCTTTTTTTTTTTAAGTATATATCTCTAATCCATCACTCTTCCCGTCCAAATTTAACGTTAATTTTGGCATAAAATTGCTATTTTTCATTCAAAACATATTTAAGATCAATATATGCCAATAGATTACCATGAAATGGAAAGCACAGAAAGCACGGCAGCAATACCTTGAGATATTTTCATTTTTAGCTTTTTTTTTTATCTCAAACCATTCGTAGTAAAAGAGCATATTAAGTTTGTGTGGATGTATGCAACATCCAGAAGATATATAAACACTTTTTATTATACCGTTAAAATCAGAATCATTAAGCTTGTCAGCCCATCGTCTGCTTTGGTTTCTTGCGTTCATCCTCCCGGGATACAATTTTTGAGTTATTTTACTGATATTTAGTATATAGATCTCCTATATAGCGTTTTATTATTATTTATTTGTAATCGTGATATGAATAACTATAAGGTGTTGTATGAGGGTGTTTCACAGTGAATCATAGTCCACCATAGTGTTTTTATTGTTTTCACTTGTTTTTATCTCAAAATAACTTGATAACTGTATATATGTATATATGGCTTGAAAATTTTATTATACCATTTTTAAATGCCTTTTTTTTCGCTCAACTTTTTTGTTCTTTTTAAGCGAATAATTTCAATTTTCAAATTCGATTCGATGCTATTGAAATTGACAAACCTTATTTACCAATTGTCAGGTTTGCAAGTATATCTCTTCAATCATAAGAGAGTTTCAAATTAGAGTGGGACAGAAGGACAAATATGACTAAATTGACTTGAAATTTCAAACAATTAAAAACTAAAAATAGATGCAAAAACGTTTAAATCGCCATTTAAATAAATAAAACTTATTTTAATTAACAGCAAGAAAAAAAAAATTTATGTGAAAACAGAACAACACGATTTTATATACATAAGTAAGACAATTCGGAGCAGTTATAAACAAATCTTTTATACCTTGTTTTTTTAAAAAAAGAACAAAAAAAAAAATCAGTTACGTTGCTCTATAATACTGCATAAGGATCACATACGGCATGTATGCGAAAATTTTCATCGTCGTGTACTGTGATCTTCAAGTAAGGACTCTGTAATGGTATCCACTGATCCATTACGGTCATTTTTTTTTTTTTTTTTTGTGACAACCTGCTTGTCAGAATTTCTAATGTTTTTGCCAAATTTGATTCTTACGACCGAGAAAGTGTTTATCGCGGACATTCAGTCACTTTTTGGATAGACTAAATAAACACTTAACCGGAAAAATACTTGGATTAGCATGACCTGTAACCAGTGAAAGAAATGAAAATATTTACTCACTTTTCTAAGGTTGTTCGCGTAGTGGAAGTTGGTTTAACGACTCTTCTCAAAAACCATTTAAAATCCAGGTATGCTGAGCACATGGGCGACCATCTCTTTTTGTTGTGCACCACTTGTGATGTAAGAGTGTATTAAGTTTATGTGGCTTGAGACATTCCCAACTTATACCAATTGCTTCAGAGAATTATTCTGATCGACTAAGAAAATGAAGCTAAGCTTGTCTGTCCGTCGGTATATCTTGCTTTCTTGTGTTGCATCTGTAGACCACAATTTTCAAGTTGTTTCCGTGCAATTGGTTCGGATAGAACCACTCTCATGTGGCGCCTTATAATGAAACGCCTTTATGCGAATAACTGTAACGTGACATAAGGTATTTAATGGTGTTTTGTGGCTCACTATAATGTTTTTACTCGTCACAAGTGAGGGCAGCTTATTTTTTCGGGCCGGAGTTATATGTCTATGCTAGAATACATTGCAACTTCATTGCAGTTGCAGAGTTTAAGCGGAAGAATACTTTCCGGACCGCAAAAGTATAAATTACGCTGCATAGGCTGAAATGCTCGTCGTTGACTGTGACTGTTTAAAAAGCTGTTCCAATGTACATAACTCCATACCATATCCATTATCAACGAAAGTTGCACCTTTGAAAGCGCTTTCCGTTAAGCATTATGAATTTTAAATCGCGACGCGATCCATATCTTATCTGCTCCCTGCTATAAGCCGCTTATAATTGCCACAGCGTACATCGCCGAACTCAATTTAATTTTGTTTCTTTGTTGTTTTTTTGTTGTTTTTTTTTTTTCTTCATTGATTTGCTGCTAACAAGGTTAACGAGATTATATTGGAAAAAAAAACAAAATTTTAATTTAAAAGCAATATATATATAAAAAAAAAGAGAAAAAAATCTGAAAACTCTACATACTGTGAGACTTTTGTTTAATAAATTGTAGTTAAACTTGAACTGTTTATTAAAATCACTTCTTATGCATTTTATTAAATAATTACATAATTATTCTTTTTTTTTTTCTTATGCATGACAATCGAAATTGTGCAAAGTAATCGTTATGATTAGTGGCTTGGAAGCCGATCCGTCCGATGCATTAATTCTAATAAACGTTAAAATACAGTCAAGTCTTCTACAACGCGATTAGTTCGTGTCGTGTTATTTTGGAAAACGAATTAATTGAATTCTGAAAATGTGTCCTGTGGAAACCGCGTAAAACAGATCAACGGGTCCAATTTATACTCAGTGATTGTGGCGTTTTATTAATACTCAGAATTAATGCAAATTAAATGAATTTGTGTCGCGTTATCTTGGAAATAACTAGAGAAAGTAAAAAGGAAGCATCTCTGATAACTGGGAATGGAAATAATTGAAAAATGTCAACAATAAAAACTCGACGCATTGAATAAGCGCAACGCTAGGATACATTTTTCATGCTCAGGTATGAAACGGAAAACCAGTTCTGAAGAGACGCCTTAAGGGAATAGCATCTTAATTTGCGCTCATTGGCAACTTGTTGTGCGAAAAGTTCGACCTTATAGCAGACTTGACTGTATTAACTCGAATAAAAGATTCAAAGAATGCTGTGCAACGGTCAATGCAATTATTATTAAATAATTGCTTGGGTGTGGGTATAAGAGTAGACAATTTTGCTAATTTACTATACAACAATGTTGTCTGACAGGTTGTTTACCTTATACGCACCGTAGAAGAGCTCTCGGGTATGCATCGAAATCGCTGTTGCTGACATGAGCATAAGTATGTGGATGGCACTGACCTCGCTGCATATGCCCATGATAGGAATAATACGCACTTATGCATATATATATATATATTTGACTTGTTGACATTGTCTCTAAGCAGTCTATACAAAGGGATCTAAATAAAACACAATATGTTTGATTTTGAAACACTAAACTAGATTTCCACATATTTTACTTTGTTTAGTTATCCTAAATAAGATGAAATCCTCCCCTAATTACGTGCATCGGATTCATTTCATATTATCCATTAGACTAAATAGATGAGTGTAAGGACAAGGAATGTACAGACTGATTAAATGTAATCTAAACTTTTCCGTAAACTATTTACCTCTGGGTGCTTATCTTGCAGTAAAATAACAAATGGTTTACATCAGGTATGGGGAACGGTCGGCCCGTAATTTCGCCCAATCCGGACAGCTACGTTTAAAAATTCAAAAATGTCAATTTGCTCGCACATAGCAAAGCTGCAAGTGTCTTGTATCTGTGTTCACTGTCAGCTCGGCGATGCAGTTAACAAATGCGAAATATGCTTAAGCGCTTTCTTCTTCTTCATTGGGCCATAAAATGACCGATTTGAGGAATTAGGAAAACTGATGCAAAATGCCACATTTTTAATGCAAGTTGGATTATGTTCCGGCCCTCGGCGTGAGATGAAAATTTAAATTTTTTTTGGTCCCATTGATGGAAAAAGTTGCCCCATCCTTGGTTTACATAATGCATCGATGGGTCCGCGATGAATTCCGTAGGGTCAACTCTCTCAGCAAAACATTCCCTTGAGAGTGTGCGTTAGGCAAGAGCGACTAGTTTTGGTCATCATTTCTCATTTACTTTTTTTTTTACTTTTAACGAATGCCGTTCTACAAACTTAAGAAGCTAAGGGAGCTATAGAAACAAGATGGTCGGGATCCGTCTAAAATTGTGCTGTGAACATTTCCTTTGACCAACTCATACATCTACAGTTAAGAGAATATTTTATAGTTTTTGATTATGGAGAACAAACATTCCCCCACCAACCGTATATTTTATCTTTTCAATGCGTACCTAATCAGATAACATGCAGTAGATCCAAGCGAGCGAAATCTTCATGCTATAATATAAGGCTTTTTATTTTATTTGCTTTGCAGTTGGTTAAAAATAAATTATGAAAGTTATGTTTGCTTACATATATATATATATATAAGATATATACATATGTATATGAACGCCTAAGCTTGACTTGGTCTGAATTAGAAATTTATAATGACGCCGTAGTGTTAAGACATTAAGTAACTTTTAGTGCTAATTGCATACAATAATAAAAAGTTTTATGATGATGTTAATACAGCAACACCTATAACTTTAAAATTTAATAGCGACGCAATTTTAAATGCCTGATAATAAGATGGCACTTAGTGTCCGGATAAAATATTTTGACGATCACTTTTTGTTTGCTTTAAGTATTTATAGTCAATGGTCTAAATAGTATTGAAGTTATTCGAAATTAAAACAGATTGTTGTTGGAACTATTCCAACTTTTGACTTTCTGACCGCATCTCTGTCACTCTAAAACTTCTAGTCGAGAAGTTATGCTTAAGGAGTCTGTCGATTCCTAGGCACACTTTGAAGTTGATTTCTTAAAAAACTGAAAGAAAAAAACAAATAATCGCTAAAGAGTACACAAGGGCTTTTTGAAAGCTCTGCCGTGAATCAAGTAACTCACTTACAATCTGTACGTAATGAAATTTTCTGTGTGCTATGCAATAAACAACTTGGTACCCCTTAAGCTAAAGGAGAACATTTCTGTATCTATATCTAAACGTCGATAATGCAGCTCCCAGTGTGAAGCAGTAATTGACGGAAGCAAATTTTTCAGGCAGTAAATTTTAGTGCCGTCAAAGCCAAAGTTTCTTCACGCTGGGGCATTTTCGCCTCGAGCATATACTTTTGATTAATAGGAACTTTGAGAAATAGCTCCGAAATGCCGCGATTTTGCTTTACACTAAAGGTTAAGCACTGTTTGATGATGAATCCTTCTATATATGGTGCCTTCAGGCCATCGCAAAAGCGATATGATTATTATGGGCTGTTTGCGGGCGCAACTTAGAAGCCCGATACAAAGCCCAGCTTTGCAATCATTTGTACACTAAAATATATCTTACGTCCATTTTAATGATTTTTCTTTAATCCTGTCTGAGTCAAAAACGACATTCGTCTCAATTGCTAAGACTCGCTCCACAACATTCAGGATTCACTTGTCTATTTCAGCATTATAATAAATTATTTTCGGGCATACGCAAGTCACGTGGTTTATGTAGAGATTCCAAGGACTATAATAAATTTATTCTAAACGTTTTTTTTTTTACTTTCATTTTAGCCTTTGGAGCACAATTCTCTCTGCCTTTGTCTTTCAATATATTTTCACCGGAATTTTGGCAATTTTTCATTCAACCGTCTAGTCAATCATTACAAACCGCAGCAACAACTAGGAAGCCACCTAAAAAGTATAGACCAACCACTTCGCCAATAAATTCATCCGCCTTGACTCGAGTTTCGACGAAAGAAGAGAAACTGAATTATCAAAAGCCCAAAACAACTAATAGCAATGCCAATAAATCAATAATATATTCAGTTAAAGGTAACAATACGACAGCAGTTGAGGGCACTACTAAACGTAACGAGGAACCTTTTCGTATCGCTGTACCGACTGTAAATAGATTAAGTTCTAAACGAGATACGGAAATAAATCCGGATAAGGATAAGCGAGAAACCGAAACAAAATTACGGGAAAAATTCAATTGTCCGCGCGAGAATGAAGTACGCTTTCAATTGTTTCCAAAAATTTGTAAAATTGACAATGACTGCAAAGTCTGGAATAGAGATGAATTGTGCTGCGAGATATTTGGAGCTAAAAGTTGTGTATCGGGCATACCGAAACCGTTACAAGAAGCTCCGCATGCACGTAAGTTAGCTTCCAGGGGCATGATATTGAAATTTTTATAATGAATGTTATAGCAATTTTGGGTCTTATTCCACGCAAGTGTCCAAGTCGACCTTTAGCAGAGCTATGGTGGGAAGTAGAAGAATGTGAAACCGATACAGATTGTTGGCCACGTATTTGTTGTCCAGATGGTAGAAAACGTTATTGTCGTACTTCTCAACCCGAACTGGATACAGTACCGGAATCGGTGCAACGATCTTTTAATTATTGTAAGTAAATAATTCTTATAGAGTGATAATCTTTAATAAATTATTGATTTATTTTCAGTAACTGACTATCTAGAATGCACGCCTCCGCCCCCACCAATTTTCGATTTACATCCGAAAGTTTGTACTTCAACATTAGATTGTTTTCCAAACGTTTGTTGTCAAGAGGCTGGTCTACGTCACTGCAGACCACCTAAAAAATCTGTATTCACCATGCTCGCTAATGTCTTCAATGTGGACTTTGTTAAACGTTTGACTCAAAATATTGTTATTAAGTGATACAAGAAAATGCTCTTAGGTTTTTAGCAGCAATATCTTTTACATATTTATACAATATACTTTTTATAAGTTTGTTACAATTTTTTTTTTGTTAATGTTATTTTCGTCATATAAATGCTCTTATCTTCATTTTTACGTGTATATAGTGTAACTCTGACAAACTCAAAAAAAAAAAGTATTTATGTAGCATCCTTACAGCCTCGTTACTTCATTCATTATCATTCGTCCGCCCATGACCATCACAAATTATCATGTATGGATGCATGTGAGTATCTATATGTGTGTGTTATTGTAATTAACTCTTTTTTTAAGCTCCAAACTCTTAAGAGTTTTCCACGTTTATTCTTATTTCATTTTTAGAAACGAGAAATATTGAAAAAATGTAAAAGGAAAGCTACTGACCGTGCTCTGTGTATTCATATTAACTTTTACTCAAGAGAAAAATCGTAGATTTAAATTAACAATATTTAGTGATCAATATGTTTGTAATGAAATGGATTTTCACTTGATATGCGTGAAAATGCTGTTGGATTTAAACATAAAATAAGGATAAGGTTTGAAAAGATGCTTGGAAGAGTAGAAATGGAGTTTACCTAAAAATTGAAAGCGAGTTACAAAAGGCTCGATATACAAAATCCACACAAGTGTAAGTTAGTAAAGTAATTCTCGAGATTATTTCGTTCTAAAAATTAATTATTAATTCATAGGTCTACAAAAATGAAATTGAACAAAGGTAAGCATGTAAGAATAGGATGAGCTATGTATAAGTTAACACTAGAGTTTCAAGTAGTTCGCTTATGTCATGAAAATTGACTTGGAAAATTGAAAGAACAGTTATGGTTGACCATTTGAAGCCAATGCCAAGGCGACAGATCTAAACCAAGAGTATGCTAAAAAGAACGTTATGTCCTTTCTGCAATAATGGATACTATTTGTTTTCAAATTTCTCAACATTTTCAGGATTTTGTTTTTTTTGTGTCACCTTTTTTAAACTCTGCTGTAACTTTGCTTTCCCTCAGTTGTTACAAATTAACGAACTCATGAAGAACAACTTTGGTCATTTTAAAGAAATTCTTTTCTATAAGGAATTCGATTAAATTTCAATGAAATATTGCCTAAAAAGCCTTGACAACAAATCGAATTTGCTTCGGAATTACTGACCAATTTTCCGGAAAAACATTATAAGCATAATCCAATCGATCAAAATCAATGATTGGCCGGTCTTTTAGTTTTTTTTACAACTCTGAATTATTATCGTTTATTACGTGAAAATAACGAATTAAACGTAAAAATAAACAAACGCGCTCATTTACTTATCACTATTTTCTAATTGTACGCAGGCAAGTATTAGTTGTTGGTATTATTGTTGTTTGTTCCATTTCATACATTCCTTCAACGGTTCACTTCAGTTATATTTACTGTTCTGTTGCAGTTTGTTATTTTCACATAAATTCGAACAAAACTTTGCAAAAAGGCGCAAATTTGTCTTATTTATTACAGAAATTCTTGGCAAATTGTTTTTTCTTCGAAGCAAACAGTCTAATATAAGTGATTTTAATAAAAAAAGAAAGAATAGCGAGTTATATTTTTTAATTTGATTTATTAAACTATAAAAACATGTCCTTGGATGATGGTGAAATTGCCTTAAATGACATCATGCGAATAATGATTTCGACGGATAATCATTTGGGCTATGGTGAGAAAGATCCAATTAGAGGTAAATATTTAAACGAGCTGATGTCTCTTTAAAAACTAGTTTAAACGTAAAGCTATTTGCAGGCGAAGACAGCTTCATAGCTTTTGAAGAAATGTTAGAGCTGGCAGTGAAAGAGGATGTTGATTTTATATTGTTAGGCGGCGATTTGTTTCATGATGCCGTTCCCAGTCAAAATGCTTTGTTCAAGTAGGTTTGAAAGCAATATTAATAGGCATTTAGAAAAATGCAAGTTTTTCTTTCTTTTTTGCATATTTGAAGATGTATGAATCTTTTGCGAATGTATACTTTCGGTGATAAGCCTATTGCCGTGGAATTGATTGATGGTAATCAACATTTTCATGGTGCTATTAATGAGTCTGTAAACTACGAAGACCCAAATCTAAATGTAGCAATTCCCGTATATTCTATACATGGCAATCACGATGATCCGAGCTCTTTCGGTGGATTGAGTTCATTGGATTTATTATCTACTACTGGGTTAATAAATTATTTTGGTCGATGCACTGATTTGACCAAAGTCGAAATATCACCAATTTTAATGAAAAAAGGAGCGACGCGATTAGCTTTATACGGCTTGAGTCATATACATGATGCCCGCTTATCTAGATTGTTTGAAAGTCGTAAAGTACATATCCAGGCACCTAGTGATCACGATGGTGAATGGTTTCATTTGATGGTTGTACATCAAAATCGGGCTGACAGAGGGCCTAAAAATTATTTGCCAGAGATCGCTTTGCCAGAATTTCTTAATCTGATTATATGGGGTCACGAACACGATTGCCACATAGAACCACAATTCAATGCTCAGCGAAATTTTTATGTTAGCCAGCCGGGATCGAGTGTTTGTACATCTCTCTCAGAAGGCGAAGCTTTACAAAAACATGTTGGCATATTGGAGATATACAAAGATAAATTTCAAATGAAACCTATACCGTTAAAAACTGTTCGTCCATTTGTATTCGAGTCTGTAAATGTTGCAAACCTAGCTGATGAATTGCATTTAGATGAAGGAGACGTCTCTAACAAAGTAAGAGATATGGCGGAGAAACGTGCGACAGCTATGATTGAAAAAGCTAAAGAAATGGTTACCGATCATGTTAAGCAACCGAAACTGCCCAATATTCGTTTGCGCATAGTTTATTTGGACGAGGAGCAAATGTTTAATCACATACGTCTTGGACAAATATTCAATGATAGAGTAACTCTTAACGTTGCCCATTTCGAAAGCTTTTTGTTCACGTAATCCTTTCAATCCTCAATTAGGTAGCTAACCCAGCAGATATGATTCACTTCAAAAAAATGACAAAAAAAGCGAAAGCAGAAAAGTCTGAATCAAGTCCAGAAAAGACGAAAGTTCAATTCCAGAGAAAGGTGAGATATAACAAACAATACCTGTGTATATATGACTTTCATATTACACGACATTTTGTAGGAATGTGAAAATATAACCAAGGTGGAAGACTTGGTTGAACTTTATTACAATAATTTAGATGAAAGTAAATCTTTAAAAGTTTTATCAAGCAAAGCCCTTGCGGAAGTATGCCATCAGATGGTGGAACGCAACGACAATAATGCTGCCGAGAATTTAATTAAGTACAAAACGATTTTAACTTCCATAGAATAATAATTTCTACATATAATAACATCTGCAGCTCTTACCAAAAAAAAGCTTTAGATTATTTAATGGACAATATGGTTGCGGAAGAAAACGTCAACGTAGAATTGCAGAAATTTAAGCAGGGAATTACTTCTGATGATATATTTAATCTGTTGGGTTCATCAACTCATAAAGTACGTCAATCACTCAAACAAAACACAACAAATCTTGAAAATAGTCGGACTAGTAATTCAGGCAATGAGAATAGCGATGATGATTGTCTGCCTTTGAAAAATGTTAGAGCAACTAGAGGTAAGAAAAAAGAAACTCGCACTGCTGTCAACAAAAGAGGCGGCACAACTGGTCGCGGTCGTGGTTCAGCCGATAATTTAAGAAGCAGCGGAGCTACAACTCGATCTAGTCGAGTAATGCCCCAACTGGAAATTTCTACGAAATCAATAGTAAGTTTGGAGTATTTTTATCAAATCGGAAAATTCTTAGTTCTGTACTTTTCTATTTTTAGTCTTCTTCACGGCAAAATCCTTTAGAAAGTCTTATCAGAAAAGATTCGAAACGACAGGGAAAATCAAAGATAATCGAACTTTCTGATAATTCTGATTAATTATTAAAAATAAGTTCACCTGATCGCAACGAGATATTCTCTCACGTCAACTACCTCTCGCATAAAGGTCTTTAAAAAAAAAACTGAAGCATTCATTCATTATTAACTAGCAAAAGGTATTTAAAATGTTTTTTTCCTGTTGCTCCTACGTTATGCTATAAACGGGCGTCTTCTTCTACTCTTTCAACACATTCGCATTTCAAGTTTGACGGGTATTTACATTTCTTTCGAATCATCTTATTTTCTTATCTCTGGCGTTAAATGGAATTTAAAAATACTTGACATATTTCAATAAATAGAACAATTTTTTTTTGTTTTTTTTTTTGTTGATTAATGATGCGTACGGAGAAGCAATGGATTTTTAAATGACTTTTAAATGGATTTACGAACAGGATGCGATTGAACAAAAAAAAAAAACTCAAGTCTGCAAATGAGTAAACAGAAAAACTGATGTCCTTTTTTGTTAAGTTTGAAAAATTTACGTCTTCTATTGTTTGATAGTTGGGAAATTGGTACTAGAGTTTTATTCTTTAAGTGTAACATAATACCAGGGAGAACACGACATGTAGAAAATGTACGATGTATGCTGCAAAGATATAGATATTGGCTGCATGGCAGCAACTTGCTCCAAATTAGCTTCTTCTGAAAGCGCCGAAATAATTCCTTAAAATTTGAAATGAAATAAATCTGGATTAAATTACAATAATAACAAAGTGACTAACATTCGCGGATATTGACAACAGCAAGACAGAGTTGCCGTAATGCCACTAAGATAGTTTGAAAAGAATTGTTCAGCGTCGTTCTTAGGTCGAAATCAAACGCAGCATTGCTTTTAAACATGGGAACATCTGTCAAACACAGCTGTTATACAATTAAATTATTAAGATAGTAAGAAAGAGTCACAAGCAGGTAAACTTGCGTTTGTTTAAAATTAAAAATTATTACAAACAAAGAAAGTTTCTTTGTAATAATTCTCAATATTCGTTTTTGGACTTTCTACCTCGTCGACGTTCAATTTTATATCAATTTATGAACGTTATTTTCATATTTTCCAATAAGGAAAGGGCAACTTAGAATTGCCAGGTCATTTCATAAAAGCTGCCCGCAATTTTTCATAAAAAAACGAAGAAAGAAGAAGAATTCATTAAATACACTGAGAAAAATTAAGTTACAGAAATAAAATTATCTTATCAAAAAAGTTAATTAAAAATTCTAAAGTATGCTACTAAATGAGAGAAATTAATAATAAAAAAAAAAAAAAAGAAGAAAGATAAAAAAGCAAAGCAAATTAAGATATTTAAGTATGAGAAAACGCGTTGGTTTAAAAAGTCCAGGCAAAGCCCTAAATAAATCGAGATCGGTTGCTCGCTCACGTTTTGAAATTCAATTTGAACGTACTCAAAGTAAATACATAAACTTATAGAAATTCTCGGGCACAGCATGCGGTTTATTTCAAATACTCTTAAAACTCTATATATGTATGTCAAATTTATATATTATATTTTAGTTTTTATATTACTTTGCAATTGGATTAACATTATATTTTTATGTAATTATGTATGCATATATAATGTTTTGGGTTAAGTTATTTAATTCTATATTGTTTTTTACACTTTCAGTAAATGAATATCTGGACGAAATGAATGTCGCATTAGATCGATTCCTAAGTGATTACTGTCGAAAGGCTACACCTAGGCCATTTCGGGCCACTAATCTAGATTTGTATTTACAACGATTGATAATATTTCCAGCGCGGACTTCGTCGAACGGTTGACTCAAAATTTTGTATGAATTTTAAGGAACGTAACACGAGAAAGCAAGTAAGTAAGTATGTGTAACATGTAATCAATTATATTTTATTTTTTAACGTGCCAGGAGATTGTTCTAGTTCTTTCTTTTTCTGCTTTATTGATATTCTCATAAACACACACATTGTTTTTTACATCTTTTCTAATGAATATATACGTACATACGTACATGCATGCTCACAAATATAACATCCTACATATAAATAAATAGGTTTTGTCTTTTGAAAGCGTATATATGTATGTGTGGAATTCTGATAAAAGAAGAATATACATATTTATTTCATTTTGTTACATTCCGTTCTTTACAATCAAAAACACTTATAATGATTGACTTAACTAACGTTTACTTTCTTATTGAGATTTCTGTTTGGCGTCTAGTCCGACTTGCTTAATGCCATGCTGTGACGTTTACCAAGTCGTAACAACTCTTACGTCTACTCTTAGCTCACCTTCGAAGATTGATTCTAATTTAAGGCGAAATTGATCCTTTCACAAAGGATATAGGATATATCTTTTAGCAATTTTTATACATTTTGTATTTGTACTTTTTTCTTATGTGAGCTGAAATCCAACTGAAAAGAAGAGGGTATCTACGTTTCGTCTGTTATATTGCTTTAAATTTGTCTTTTTGAAACTGCGTCGTATGAAATTTACGTGCCTACGCCGAAATATTCCAAACTATTTTGCTTATCATTTCAGTTATTTCTTTTTATCGATATACTTTAGTGAGCGAAACTTTATTGCTTTACTTTAACGGGTTTTTAGGACATAAAATTTAATAATAATTATACATTTTCGTTATTATTATTGTCATTATTATTATTATTTTTTTTTTGTTCATTACATAAGTCCTGTGTTTGAAAATGTAAATTTAGAAAACACACACATACACACAAAATTACTTGTCATTTTCGGTCAAAGAGCAAAGTTAACTGACCCGTTGAACCAAGTACACATCTCACTTCTATTACGTTTTATTCATCTCCATATCTATTCGTCTATCTCTTCATATATAGTTCGTGATAATGTGTTTTCTATATCATTTATTATCTGTTGTTGTAATTTTCAAAGAAAGCCACTCTTGAATATTGAAAATTACTAATTAAAACTTTAGCTGTTGTTTAAAGCTGATTTAAGCGCCGGAAGAGCTTAGTTTATATTTCCTTTTTTTGTTTATATTATATTCATCGACGACAGATGTTGTTATATTCTTTTTGTTGAAACGTTTGCAGTAAACAAAAGGCAACTTCAGAAACATTTATTTTTGATTAACAACCAATTCTGAATCGATTTAAGCATATGCGTTGCGTTTGTTTGTCTTTTCGTTTATGTACCTATCTGTCTACTTGTTTCCTTAACTAGCCCTTTTCTCGTTTGTTGTACGCCTGTTTGCCTACTCGTCTGCCTGACATTTTTTTTTTGCATAAATTTGAATTATTTTATTATATTTTTTGTTAATAATTAAGATACAGGATATATAAGAAGTGATCGAGGAAGTGGTCCGCTCCGCACCGTTTTCAATAGCCCTCGTTGTCGGACCAAAAAATGTCAAGCACATAGTTTATCAGATTTCACCATAGTATCTAAACAATTGCGACCTACACAAGATTACATGGATCGGCACGAAAGGGACTGACAGTCGAACAGGCAAACTTATGTGTAAGAAGAAGTGGTCGTTCCATTTCAACTTATAGGCTGAATACCAGACTACATGGACAGGCTATTTTATGTCCTTCTGATTCTCATATAGATCCGCAGATATTTAATATATCCTCGTGACATAAGTGATGTAGGGGATAGTGATGAACTTTGAAGGTAGGCTCTCTATCAATTCCAATTAAATGTAAGACGTGCCTATTATCGACAAAAAGTTGAAACAAATTCTCAAATACATGCGACGTGTTTAGCAATTCATTGCAAATTATTTACGCAGCAGTAAAAGTCATTGATCTGAAAATATCTCTCAAATTTAGTAAATATTTCTTAGATTCTTAATAAGTATTTAGCGCAAATATCAGCAATTATCAGTCAAGTAATTCAACTTTAGTTTTGATGCCATCCAGTAATTTTCCTTAAGTGGCTATAGCTGTAAGGAGTTCGCTCATAGATAAAATAGTTTTTTTTTTTATTTATTATATACTTATGTCAATTGCCTTTACATCAAAGATGCCTAACGACCTGATCATATCGCCAGAGGTCACAGATCAACTGGACATGATTTTCAGACAATCTAGAGTGAGTAACGGAGAAGAGAATTTTTGAAGAACACATACGACGATCGAAATAAAAGTATTTGCGTTTGGTAAAAACAATCGAGTCGTGAGCGCTTTGCTTTTCAATTTTTTCATTTTTATTTCAATGACGGTCGTTTAAAGAAATAGCTTCGAAAAAAGTTGACGACTTCCGTTCTTCTTTAATCGCTCGAGATCATCACTGTCGTTTTTTTTTGTTGTTTTTTGTTTTCAAGAGTTTAATACACTTGCGAAGTATTAAGCGCTTAACTCTGCTCTGTTCTAGCTTCTTATCATTCTTTAAAGTATTCGACGAGTATTCGCGTGTCTCTCTATTATGAGCAGATATTTTTCACATTGCGCCTCGTCACACTTCAGCCTAATATGGGCATTAAATTATACTATCATTAGGAATTAACTGCAGCTTTCATTATAAAAAAGACAGACATAATTTTCATTTAATTTGTTTTTATTTAAAGCAACATACACACATACGTATATGTGTTTTTGATTGTTTTTGCTTGAAATGTATATTCGCTTAAATTAGTTAATACATTTTTAAATGATATGTGATTTGAAAAAATAAACTTTGAAATTTTGCATTCTTTTGTTCGCAAGAAAAAAAAAAAAAAAAACAAAGAGGAAAATATAAAGATAAATTATTTTTAATTGATTTTAATTAGCTTGCAGCATCCATCCATTTGCTTTGAACACATGATTGGTTTGCCGATACACTTTTTACAATCTATTGTTTATTTATTGGCAGATCCACATTTGCAACCGGTACCGCAGCCGCATTTGTCAGTTTGTTGGGAGGCGCATTTACAACCTAAAAAAAACCAAAAAAAAAAAATTTAATTTTTTTTCTTAAATTTTTTATCAAAAGGATATAAATCCTTTAGGACTTACCAGGTCCACAGGGGCAATCCATTTTGATTTGTTTTAGTTTTGTTTTTTTTTTTATTATTTTTATAAACACACAATTTAGAGTTTATCAGCTTAGCTTATTAGGCCGCCTTATCGTTCGGATGATTTTTTTAAAGAGAGAGTTCTGCTAAATTGTCAACTTCACAAACAACTGATGCCTATGAGTTTCAGTTAGCGCGGTTTTATAGATATCAATTGTGTGTAAAAAGTTTCTTCGGCCCGTTCTCAATACACATACCACGACACCACAGCTTAAGTGGTGTCGTGTGCGATTCGCACAGACGCACACGGCTTTATTTTAT